CATGTATAATTTGTCAGCTCTGTGCTGCCCCCTGGTGGCGTCCCTCTTCACAGCACATATCCAAACTAAAAATTTCCCTTCTCTTGGGTGGAAAACAACTTTATAGATATTTTACAGAGAGGAAGGGAGAGGGATAGAGAGCTAGAAACGTCGATGAGAGAGAAACATCGACCAGCTGCCTCTTGCACATCCCCTACTGGGGATGTGCCTGCAACCAACGTACATGCCCTTGACCGGAATCGAACCCGGGACCTTTCAGTCCGCAGATCGCCGCTCTACCACTGAGCCAAACCGGTTTCGGCTGGGTGGGAAACCTAAATCAGACAAGATGCCATTCTTCTTTTCCCCAAACTTGTCCTGCTCTACTTTTCAAACACCCGGGGGAGGATTAGCCCTCGAGGCCGATCAGTTGCAGGGGTGAGAATCTCTCTGCCCAGGGCCATTTAGGTATTTATAACATTACTAGAGGCCCAGTGCACGGATTTGTGCACTGGTGGGGGCATGGCCTGCAGGGATCGACCCACGGTGGGAATGCCACACATCTCGGTCAGCTGAGCAGCTGCTCCCTCTGTGGGAGCGCACTGATCACCAGGGGATAGCTCCTGCATGGACTGGTGGTCAGTGCGCGTCATAGCGACCGGTCAGCTGGTCTTTCTGGTTGTTCTGCCATTTGGTCTCCTGTCCTCTCGCCATCTGTTAGTGTCATCTGTTAGTCTAAAATATATATTTTATTGAGTTTTTACAGAGAGGAAGAGAGAGGGATAGAGAGTTAGAAACATTGATGAGAGAGAAACATCGATCAGCTGCCTCTTGCACGCCCCCACCTGGGGATGTGCCCACAACTGAGGTCCATGCCCTTGACCAGAATCGAACCCTAAGCCCTTCTGTCCACAGGCTGACGCTCTATCCACCAAACCACACCGGTCAGCGCTATTTTAGGGTTTTTATGTAGCAGACCCATGCCCAGACTCTATACTGGAAAATCAAGCCAGTCGTCCGAAAACCCCACTGTTTCCAACCAAGAGGAGCTTATCTGTTTCCAGGAAAATTTGATGGTAACAACACAAACGTCCTGCCCTGCCCCGGCTGCTCCATGCCCGTGTATGCAAATGAACCCACCATTTTTGTTGGGTTCATTTGCATACCCATTCCTGATTGGCTGGTGGGCATCATGAAAGTATGGTCAATTAGCATGTTACTCTTTGAGTGTAGATGACAAGGCTTTTGCGCTCTGGCCTCTGGCTTGCTGAGAAGGCGGGGTGTCTGCCAGGCATCCGGGCTCAGGCACGCTAGGGGGGGGGGGGGCTCTCCTCCTGGGAAGAGGTCAAAGATGATCTCCCACATCGACGAGCAGGTGTCTGTTTCCCAATCTGGGTGGAAAGGCCTGCCTTCCCTTTACTTCCCAGGGTTGCTACGTGCCCAGGAGGACTTCACTCCCACTTGGAAAGGGGCTGAAATACACTGAGCAGCCAGATGGTGATCTCTGAACGCACAATCATCTGTCCACTCAGTGTAGATCCTATAGAATAAAAGGCTAATATGCAAATTGTCCCCTCGACCAGGAGTGAGACGAGACTAGCAGGCAGGCTGGCCAATCACCCATGTCCCCTCCCCCTGACCAGGCTGGCTGGACCCCACCCATGCACAAACTCATGCACCGGGCCTCTAATACATATTATATATGGAGGTGAACATGTCTTTTTTTTAAATTTTATTTTATTGACTTTTACAGAGAGGGAGTTAGAAACATTGATGAGAGAGAAACATCGACCAGCTGCCTCTTGCACACCCCCTACCGGGGATGTGCCCGCAACCAATGTACATGCCCTTGACCAATCGAACCTGGGACCTTCCAGCCCGCAGGCCGACGCTCTTATCCACTGAGCCAAACGTGTTTCGGCTGTAATGACTGCTTTTACTTAAAACCAGCCTTTCACAATCTCGGCACATCCTTTCATTGTAACTTTGGTCAGAGCGACTCCCCTCCCTCTCCACGCGACCTCCGGTGATGACTTTTGTCCTCGGATCCAGGAGTAACCTTGTAGCGTTTAGAGCAACATTGTAGCATTGAAAGCAGCATTGTAGCGCTCAGTGTCGTTTCGTTGCCACGGTGATGAGTTGCCATGGGAACAAGTAGCCTATGGCAACGCTGCTTTCATTATATGTCACATGACCACAGTCCCAGCACCTATCCACAGACCCCGTTCAGCGTGGACTTGCTGGTCATCTAGGGCTTCTGTGGGCTCTGCTTTTTGTTCCATTCCCCACCGAGGCGTATGTCCTACAGAATAAAAGGCTACTATGCAAATCCTTAGCATATTAAGCACCCCGTGGCCACAGGAATCTTCCCTCAGAACCAGCCCCAGCCAAAACCGGTTTGGCTCAGTGGATAGAGCGTCAGTCTGCGGACTGAAAGGTCCGGGGTTCGATTCCGGTCAAGGGCATGTACCTTGGTTGCGGGCACATCCCCAGTAAGGTGTATGCATGAGGCAGCTGGTCGATGTTTCTCTCCCATCGATGTTTCTAGCTCTCTATCCCTCTCCCTTACTCTCTGTAAAAAAATCAATAAAACAGCCGGGACCGGTTTGACTCAATGGATAGAGCGTCAGCTTGGGGACTGAAGGGCCACCGATTCGATTCCAGTCAAGGGCATGTACCTTGGTTTCGGGCACATCCCCAGTAGGGGGTGTGCAAGAGGCAGCAGATTGATGACTCTCTCTCATTGATGTTTCGAACTCTCTCTCTCTCTCCCTTCCACTCTGTACAAAAATCAATAAAATATATTTTTAAAAAAACCAATAAAACATATTTTAAAAAAACACACAAAAAACTTTATAGCCGAATCTGGTGTGGCTCAGTGGATAGAGCGTCAGCCTGCAGACTGAAGGGTCCTGGGTTTGATTCCGGTCAAGGGCATGTACCTTGGTTGTGGGCACATCCCCAGTAGGGGGCGTGCAAGAGGCAACTGATCGAGGACTCTCTCTCATCGACATTTCTAACTCTCTATCCCTCACTCTTCCTCTCTGTAAAAAATCAATAAAATATATTAAAAAAATTTTTTTTCTCTAATTTTCAACTTCCTTTTCCTGTAGTTTATCCCAGAACACAGATTCACACGGTATTTTCTGTATGTGCTATGGAATCACACTCAAGGGCTCAAACTCCGAGGTCCTGTCTCCTTGGTAAAGGGCACCGAAGCTACAGAACTATAAACGTTCACTACTATTCAGAGACTGACAGTTCTGACCAACTTTTCTTTGGAAAAGTTCATCCTCAGGAGGTGAGATGAGCTACCCACCAACCAAAGGAAACTCAGTATTTTTATCGCAAACGTAAGCAGGAAGAGGAAAACCTTTCGAGGTGAAAACGGGGCGGGGGGTGAGAAGAGTGATTGAAAGCACACAGTGGGGCCCTGGCCGGTGTGGCTCAGTGGGTAGAGCGTCGGCCTGCGGACTGAAGGGTCCCTGGTTCGATTCCAGTCAGGGGCATGGACCTTGGTTGCGGGCACATCCCCAATCGGGGGAGTGCAGGAGGCAGCTGATCGATGTTTCTAACTCTCTCCCCCTCTCTGTAAACAATCAATAAAATTTACTAAAAACACACACAAACCAGACTAGCGGGAAAGGCAACAAAGTGTCCATTATTAGTTACATTAATTAGGTGGGATACCCTGCAAATGTACATCATTCTGCAGTGAAGACCTGGAGGGGGAGGTTGGAGGTGGTTGGGGGGGGGGGACCTTCTCCTCTTCGGAGAGTAGCACACTGCCGATTCCCCGTGGCCGTTCATCGCGATGAGCAACTGGAACAGGAAGACAAAGATAGCTCTTTCGTACTGATCATCAGAGGCGTAGACAGTCAGTCCCGTGGTCGCTCCTGAACCATGTGGTCAGACGGGAACGCGGAGAAAAGATTTCTCAGGCCGCCCGCCCGGCTTCCTCCTTCATCCGGGGGAAAAGTGTCTTCGTGTTTCTGCTCAACAACCCGGCGGGCCCAGCACAGGGAGCCACGGACGCCCCTCCATCTGGTCCCGGACCCTTCCTGTGTCCAGGCGGCTATGCATGTGGCTCAATGACATGCATGGCAGCCACGGGGCCTGGGCCAGCGCCACGATCGATGGATCGATCAATGGATCGATGGGCGGGTTTGTGCCCGACGCAGGAGCCCTCCTTCCTCACAGGTTAGAACAGCGGTCGGCAAACCCGCGGCTCACGAGCCACATGCATGCGGCTCTTTGGGCCCCTCGAGTGTGGCTCTTCCACAGAATAGCATGGCCTGGGTGAGTCTATTTTGAAGAAGTGGCATTAGAAGAAGTTTAAGTTTAAAAAACTTGGCTCTCCAAAGAAATTTCAATCTATGTCCTGTTGGTATTTGGCGCTGTGGACGAACGAGTCTGCCGACCACTGGGTTAGAAAATGACCCTGATGCCGAAACCGGTGTGGCTCAGTGGATAGAGCGTCAGCCTGCAGACTGAAGGGTCCCAGGTTCGATTCCGGTCAAGGGCATGTACCTTGGTTGCAGGGTGTGCAGGAGGCAGCTGGTCGATGTTTCTCATCGATGTTTTTAACTCTCTCCCTCTCCCTTTCTCTCTGTGAAAAATCAATTAAAAAAAAAAATATATATATATATATTTAAAAAAAAAAGAAGAAAAGAAAACGACCCCAAGAAACCTGTTAGAGCATCCGGGCTACAGAACAGATACATGTAGAGTCATTTTGTTTCAAAGACATATATTCCCAAGTTCTCGGAAAGGCGGGGGCCTGCGGGGGTGTGCGGGGCGGGCCCAAGTGTGAGCTGGGCGAGCCCAGCAGGTGTGGGCGGGGGGAAGGCCCAGCCAATGTGGGCGGGACAAGCCCAGCAGGTGGGCGGGGCAGGCCCAGGCCCGGCCAAGGTAGGCGGGGCGGGCCCAGCCAATGTGGGCGGGGCAAGCCCAGGTGTGGACGCAGCAGGCCCAGCCAATGTGGGCAGGGCAGGCCCACCCCAGCCAATGCGGGCGGTGTGGGCCCAGGTGTGGGCGGGGCCAGCCCAGCCAATGTGGGCGGTGCTGCCGGCAGGTGGGCGGGGCAGGCCCAGGTGTGGGCGGAGCCAGCCCAGCCAATGTGGGCGGGGCGGGCCCAGGTGTGGATGCTGCAGGCCCAGCAGGTGTGGGGGCCGGCCGGCAGGCTGGTGTGGATGCTGCAGGCCCAGCAGGTGCGGGTGCCGGCCTGCGGGTGCGGGTGGGGCCCTCACTTGGCGGCGCCCAGGTGCACCAGCGCCAGCACGGTGGTGTAGCTGTGGAACAGGTCCTCCTCGGCCCGCGCCTCGCCGCCGCCGCCGCCACCGGCCGGGGCCTCGCCGCAGCGCCGCAGCGCGAAGTGGCCGGTGACGATGCGGTCGCAGCCGATCTCGCCGTTGCCGAAGAAGCCGAAGAGCGGCACGCCGGGGAAGGCCTTGCGGAACGCGTCGGCCTCCACGTGGGCGCGGCCGCGGTAGAACTGGGCGCCGCGGCCCACGCAGGCGAACATGAAGCCCACGGTGTGGCGCTCGGGGATGCCCGCCGCCTTGAGGCGCTGCACGGCCGCCTCGGCCGCGCGCTCGTCGCCCACGTCCTCGCCCAGCAGCACCGTGGCGCCCTGCACGCGCTGGCCGCTCAGCGCCAGCCCCGCCACGCCCGCGCCGTCCACGTCCACCGGGCACCTGCGGGGACGCAGACGGAGGGACCGGTCACCGCCAAACACAGAACGTGCACGTGCCAACAGGCAAGACCAGCCCGGCCCGCGTGGCTCCGGGGTTGAGTGCCGACCTAGGAACCAGGAGGTCAGGGGTTCGATTCCCGCTCAGGGCACAGGCCCGGGTTTCAGGCTCGATCCCCAGTGGGGGGCGTGCGGGAGGCAGCCGATCAGTGCGTTTCTCATCTTGGATGTTTCTCTCTCCCTCTCCCTTCCTCTCTGAAATCAATAAAAAATGTATATAAAAAACAAACAAACAAACAAACAAAAAACAAAACACAGCCCTAGCCTGGGTGGCTCAGCGGATGGAGCATCGGCCTGCAGACTGAAAGGTCCGAGTTTGATTCCCAGTCAAGGGCACATGCCTGGGTTGTGGGTTCCATCCCCAGTGTGGGGCGGGCAGGAGGCAGCCGATCCGTGCTTTTCTCATCATGGATGTTTCTCTCTCCCTCTCCCTCTCTCTTCCTCTCTGAAGTCAATAAAAAAAAAATATATATATATATATATATATATTTATTTATTTATTTATTTTATTTATTTTTTTTTTTTAAGTGCAACCCAGGCATGTGCCCTTGGCCAGAATCAAACTCAGGACCCTTTAGTCCTCAGGCTGGCGCTCTATCCACTGAGCCACACCAGCCAGGGGCTTTTTTTTTCTTCTTTTTCTTTTTTTCTCATTTCCAAGAGGACCCCTGCTGCCTGCTGTTTTGTGTTCGTACAGCGTGTCTAACAATAAAGCAGGAGGGGGGAAAGCACGAAGCCGATGCTCCATCACGGGCCAGGGCTCTTTCTCCTTCCCTCCTTCCCTCCTCCCTCCCTCCCTCCCTCCCTCCTCCCTCCCTCCCTCCCTCCCTCCCTCCCTTCCTCCCTTCCTTCCTTCCTTCCTTCCTTCCTTCCTCCCTCCTTCCCTCCCTCCCTTCCTTCCTTCCTTCCTTCCTTCCTTCCTTCCTCCCTCCCTCCCTCCTTCCTCCCTCCTTCCTTCCCTTCTTCTTTGCTTCCTTCCTCCCTCCCTCCCTCCCTTCCTTCCTCCCTCCCTCCCTCCTCCTTCCCTTTCCTTCCTTCCTTCCTCCCTCCCTCCTTCCTTCCTTCCTCCCTCCCTCCTTCCCTTCCTTCCTTCCTTCCTCCCTCCCTCCCTCCTTCCTTCCTTCCTCCCTCCTTCCTTCCTTCCTTCCTTCCTCCCTCCCTCCCTCCTTCCCTTCCTTCCTTCCCTCCCTCCCTCCTTCCTTCCCTTCTTTTCCTTCCTTCCTCCCTCCCTCCCCCCTCCCTTCCTTCCTTCCTCCCTCCTTCCTTCCCTTCTTTTCTTTCTTTCCTTCCTCCCTCCCTCCTTTTCTTTTCCTTCCTTCCTTCCTTCCTTCCTTCTGTCCTTCCTTCCTCCCTCCTTTTCTTTTCCTTCCTTCCTTCCTTCCTTCCTCCCTCCCTTTTCTTTTCCTTCCCCCCTTCCTTCCTTCCTTTCTTCCTTCTGTCCTTCCTTCCTCCCTCCTTTTCTCTTCCTTCCTTCCTTCCTCCCTCCCTCCCTCCCTCCCTCCTTTTCTTTTCCTTTCCTTCCTCCTCCCTCCCTTCCTCTCTCCTTTTCTTTTCCTTCCTTCCTTCCTTCCTTCCTTCCTTCCTTCCTTCCTTCCTTCCTTCCTTCCTTCCTTCCTTTCTTCCTTCCTTCATATTTGACATATATTACATTATATATCAACTTGGGTTTCCCAGAACCCCAAGCGCGCGCCCCGCCCCGCGGGGAGCCCGAGGGGACCCGGGCGGCGGCCGGCCGGAGGGACGTACGTGTCATTGGTCAGCGACACCAGGTTGTCCACCTGGCCCCCGGCCACCACCACGTTGGTGTCGCTGAAGGTGCGGACCACGCGCTGAAGGTAGCTGCTGGCGCCCACCTTGCAGCAGTTGTAGCCGAACACGAGGACCACGCGCAGCTCGGGGTTGTCCAGGAGGCCTGTGGGGAGGGCGGCGGCCGTGAGTGACTCCTGCGGGCGCCGAGGAACCTCGTGGTCCCCGCCCTGAGCCGCCTGCCCCCCCACCCCACCCCGGGACGGTGACGGTATGCAGGAGTGGGTGCGGCTGGGGAAGCCGCCAAGGGTCCCCACGGCTACAACCTGTGACACGACTCAACGTCTGGGCAACAATGTTTCCCTCTTAATAAAAACCTGAGGCCCCGGCCGGTGTGGCTCAGTGGATAGAGCGTCGGCCTGCGGACTGAAGGGTCCCAGGTTCGATTCTGGTCAAGGGTGTGTACCTTGGTTGCAGGCACATCCCCAGTGGGGAGTGTGCAGGAGGCAGCTGATGGATGTTTCTCTCTCATCGACGTTTCTAACTCTCTATCCCTCTCAATTCCTCTCTGTAAAAAAATCAATAAAATATATATTAAAAAAAATAATAATAATCTGTAGCCCTGACCGGTGTGGCTCAGGGGGGAGAGCACCGGCCTGTGGAATGAAGGGTCCTGGGTTCGATTCCCAGTCAGGGCTCCATCCCCAATAAGGAGCGTGCAGGAGGCAGCCGATCCATGATTATTCTCTCTTGTCATGGATGTTTGTCTTTCTCCCTCTCCCTTCCTCTCTGTAAAAAAAAAAAAAATCAATAAAATATATATATTTTTTAAAAAGTTAAACACGCATTTAAAAATGAATAAATAGCCGAGACCGGTTTGGCTCAGTGGATAGAGCGTCGGCTTGGGAACTGAAGGGTCCTGGGTTCGATTCCGGTCAAGGGCATGTACCTTGGTTGCGGGCATATCCCCAGTAGGGGGTGTGCAGGAGGCAGCTGATCGATGACTCTCATCGACGTTTCTAGCTCTCTATCTCTCTCCCTTCCTCTCTGTACAAAAACAATAAAATATATTAAAAAAAATAAAAATAAATAAATAAAATAAATAAAATAAAAATGAATAAATAGAGCTCAGAACGCCCCGCCCCAGCCCCGCCCACCCCGGGACCGCCCCGCCCACCTCTCTCCGGGACCCTCCGCCCAGGGGGGGCCGGGCCGGTGAGGGCCGCGACTCACCTGCTTCGGTGAAGCGCCGTCTCTCCAGCGTCAGGTTCTTCGGGTTCTTGGTGAATCGGAAGGGCTGTATTTTAATTCCTTCCACCTGGGGGAACAGCAGCGCAAAGCCGGACTCCCCGATCTCTACCTCCTGCGGCCGGTGGCTCCCCGAGCCCATGGGGGTCACTGGGGGGGAAGGGGAGCAGTGTGGTCCGCGGTCCATAAACACGGGGGACTGTGTTCCTAAGGGCGCGCGGCCAGCCCTCCCCCCCCCCCACCCCGCCCCCCATCCCCCGTCCCCACCCCCGGCCGCCAGGTGCCCAGGGCGCCCCCCGCCCCTCAGAGTGCTCAGCCTGCTGCCCGGGACACACACACACACATACACACAGTGCTGAGGGCTGCGATGCCCTGGCAGGTGCCCGGGGCGCCCCCCGCCCCTCAGCATGCTCAGCCTGCTGCCCGGGAGAGAGAGAGAGAGAGAGAGAGAGAGAGAGAGAGAGAGAGAGAGAGAGACACACACACACACACAGACACACACACACACACACACACTGCTGAGGGCTGCGATGCCCTGGCAAATGGTTTGCAAAGAAGCAGGCTGGTGCTGCCACGTGTCCTTAAAGGGTGACCCAGCCAAAATCGGTGTGGCTCAGTGGGTAGAGGGTCAGCCTGCGGACTGGAAAGGTCCCGGGTTCGATTCCGGTCAAGGGCATGGACCTTGGTTGCGGGCACATCCCCAGTAGGGGGTGTGCAGGAGGCAGCTGATGGATGTTTCTCTCTCATCGATGTTTCTAGCTCTCCATCTCTCTCCCTTCCTCTCTGTAAAAAATCAATAAAATAGGAAGGAAGGAAGGAAGGAAAGAAGAAAGGAAAAAAGGAAGAAAGGAAGAAGATAAAGGAGCCCTGGCCGGTACGGCTCAGTGGATAGAGCATCGGCCTGAGGACTGAAGGGTCCCGGGTTCCATTCTGGTCAAGGGCACAGGCCCGGGTGGCGGGCTCGATCCCCAGTGGGGGACGTGCAGGAGGCAGCCGACCTATGATTCCAGCTCCTCACTGATGTCTCTCTCTCTCTCCTCCCTTCCTCTCTGAAATCAATAAAAACATACTTAAAAGAAGAAGAAAGGCATGCGGGACAGCCGTTTTATACCGACAGCCCTGAGGTGGGCCGTAGGAGCCCCAGCGAGAGAAGCCGGATAGAACCCGCCCGTGGGTGGGGCCACTTTCTTCGTGTTTCAGTCCCCGCCGCGCCCAGGGCGGACCCGCAGGGGTCCGGGGCGGGGGCCGCCGGGGGGCGCTGCTCTCACCGACAATCCCGGGGGCCACGACCCCCAGCACCTGGCACTGCCTCGGGAACAGCTTCTCCAGGGCCATGGCCGACTCCATCGTCGCTCGCTTCCGGGCTGCGGGAACGCGGGGCACAGGCGTCGAGGTCACCGCCCGAGGTCAGGCGAGGTCGCGTCCGAGGCGCGGAGGGAGAGAAAGGTAAATGCTGATGAACAAAGCTGAAGCCGGAAAGCGGTGCAAGTGAGTCTCAAAACGCTGGTGAAGCCCGGCCAGCGCGGCTCCACGGCTGAGCATCAACCTAGGATCCAGGAGGTCAGGGTTCGATTCCCGGTCAGGGCACATGGGGCGTGCAGGAGGCAGCTGACCCATGATTCTCTCTCCTCATGGATGTTTCTCTCTCTCTCCTCACTTCCTCTCTGGAAAAAAAAAAATTATTAAAAAAAAAAAAAAAAAAAGCCAAAAACGGTGTGGCTCAGTGGATAGAGCGTCGGCCTGCGGACTGAAAGCTCCCGGGTTCGATTCCGGTCAAGGGCATGTACCTTGGTTGTGGGCACATCCCCAGTGGGGGTTGTGCAAGAGGCAGCTGATCAATGACTCTCTCTCATCGATGTTTCTAACACTCTATCCCTCTCCCTTCCTCTCTGTAAAAAATCAATAGAATATATTAAAAAGAAGAAAAAAAAAGAAAGAACACACATAAGGAGACAAGCACCCGCAGCGCTGAGTTTGGACAGTCACCTCGCTTGTGGCCCCGACACTCCTCCAGGCTGATGAAGGTGTCCGAGTCGGCCATGTAGAGCACGGTCTGCGGCAGGATGTGCACGTTCTGCGGGGAGAGCGGGAACCGGGGTTAGAGCGCAGGAAGCGAGGAGCAAGCGCTTCTGTGGTTAAATGGTTCAAGTCTCACCCCCATCGCCCTCACCCCACCCTCTGATCGGACAGTGCGGGCATTCTGAGTCCCTCCACTTCTCATTCGTGTTTCACTCATGCTCTTGCATGTTTCAGTTCAGTCATTGGTGAAACATCGATTATTTCTTCCAAGCAGACTCGTCCCTGACTCACTCAAGAGGTTCGTGGTGACTGAAACAAAACCATGAAGTACCAGCAAAAAACAAACAAACAAACAAAAAACAGAGAAAGACACCAAAGGCCACTTGCTCTATCAGAACATGCCGGAAACCAATCATTGTCTCACTAAGAGAAAGAGGCTGGTCAACCTTGAAGCTCCGAAAGGTCAGAGCCAACCACTCCCTATCTAATGGAGACAAAGGTAACTGAGGCAACTTCCCCATCTTGTAATCATGTAAATCCTTACTGATAGGATAATCCAGCTTATTACCTGCCTGAGGGCTTTGGGGTGTTTCCCCAAAGCTGCTTCAGGGTACTGGGTGTATCCCATAGCAGCCCCAATAAAAGGGATAGCAAGGCCAGAGCGTAGAGTCTTCCCACTAGAGGTTGTCTCCCGCCTGGCCCCCCATTTGTCCCAAATTACCGTATTTTTCGGACCATAAGACGCTCGGGACCATAAGACGCACCAGTTTTTAGAGAAGGGAAATGAAGAAAAAAAGATTCTGAAACAAATAGTGTCCTAAAATATTTTATGTGCATTAAAACCCAACATCACAGTCATAAACACATGTAATCAACCCTGTAAAGTAAACAGCAGCATTTAGAACCATTTTAGAGCCGGGCAAGCACACAGAGACCACACAGAGCCGGGCAAGTAAAAAAACTTTTTTTTTAAAGTATATGTGTAGGCTATATTTGGACCATAAGACGCAGGGACTTTCCCCCCCCACTTCTGGGGGGGAAAAAGTGCGTCTTATGGTCCGAAAACTACGGTAACTCTTTTCTAGTCTCTCTTCATTTTAGTGTGCGGCCTCCTCCAGAAACCGGACCCTGAGTGGGCCCTAATCACGCAGGTCGTATTCAGGGATCCCACAAGAACAGGCACTGCAGTCCAGAAGCTGCTCGGCAAGTGTCACACTCGGTGTTTTTTTTTTTGTTTTTTTTTTTAATATATTTTTATTGATTTTGTACAGAGAGGAAGGGAGAGAGATAGAGAGCTAGAAACATCGATGAGAGAGAGTCATCGATCAGCTGCCTCCTGCACACCCCCCACCGGGGATATGCCCGCAACCAAGGTACATGCCCTTGACCAGAATCGATCCCGGGACCTCTCAGTCCCCAAGCCGAAGCTCTATCCATTGAGCCAAACCGGTTTCGGCCACACTCGGTGTTTTGTTAAATATCCCAGGCCCTCACTTCCCCACAGCAACTCCAGTGTGCTTACGATCGACGACCAGACACACACACACTTCCTGGTATATTCTCTGCAGCTGGTTCCTTTCCCACTTGGTTTAAGATGGTTTCCCCCAAGAGATAGTTTATTGTTCATGTAAAATACATTAAAAAAAATATATATTTTATTGATTTTTCACAGAGAGGAAGAGAGAGGGATAGAGAGTTAGAAACATCGATGAGAGAGAATCAGCTGCCTCTTGCACACCCCCCACTGGGGATGTGCGCGCAACCAAGGTACATGCCCTTGCTCGGAATCGAACCCGGAACCTTTCAGTCCACAGGCCGACGCTCTAGCCACTGAGCCAAACCGGTCCTGGCTAAAATATATTTTTAAAAAAATATATATTTTATTGATTTTTTACAGAGAGAGAGAGGGATAGTTAGAAACATCGATGAGAGAGAAACATTGACCAGCTGCCTCCTGCCCACCCCCCACCAGGGATGCGCCTGCAACCAGGGCACATGCCCTTGACCGGATTCGAACTGGGACCTTCCAGTCCGCAGGCCGACGCTCTATCCACTGAGCCAAACCGGTTTCGGCTAAAATACGTTTTTATTGATTTCAGAGAAGGGAGAGATACAAACATCAATGAGCCCTGACTGGTGTTGCTCAGTGGATAGAGCATCAGCCTGCGGACTGAAGGGTCCCGGGTTCGATTCAGGTCAAGAGCATGTACCTTGGTTGGGGGCACATCCTCAGTAGGAGGCGGGCAGGAGGCAGCTGATGGATGTTTCTCTCTCATCAGTGTTTCTGACTCTCTATCCCTTCCTCTCTGTAAAAAAAAATCAATAAAATATATTTTAAAAAAAAGAAACATCAATGAGGAGAGAGAATCATTGATCGGCTGCCTCCTGCACGGCCCCCACTTGGGATGGCGCCTGCAACCCAGGGGTGTACCCTTGTCCGGAATGGAACCCGGGACCTTTCAGTCCACAGGCTGATGGTTCTATCCACTGAGCCACACAGGCTAGGGCTCCCCCAACTGCCACTGAATGAAAGGGACTAAGTCTATATAGACATAAATAAATGAGTACTTTGAAACAAGACATAAACATATGGGTTCAAAGTATCTCCCCTCCAAACACTTAGGTAGAAAGGAATTAAGTTTAACAGTAGCAACATCTGATCTGATTGACACCATGTTACTAAAAAATAAATAAATAAATAAATATAATGTCAGTAATGATGGCAGGCCAACATCAGCCAACGATACATAATGTGAACCTAACCAACAGGGGAAGCTTTACAACATGACCGGCCTGCCTTGTACACGTGTCCGAGCTGTGAAAGTCCAGAGAAGCTTGGAGAAAAGGTTCCAGGACAAAGAATCACGAATCAGGACAGGCCCTGCCAGTGTGGCTCAGTGGTTGCGCATCGGCCTAGGAACCAGGCACATCCCCAGTGGGTGGGGGGTGGGCAGGAGGCAGCCGATCCATGATTCTGTCTCCTCACTGATGTTTCTCTCTCTCCCTCTCCCTTCCTCCTGAAATTATTTTTAAAAATATATTTATATTTTTTAAAGAATTAGGACGCCGAAACCGGTTTGCTCAGTAGATAGAGCGTTGGCCTGCAGACTAAAGGGTCCCGGGTTTGATTCCGGTCAAGGGCATGTGCCTTGGTTACGGGCACATCCCCAGTAGGGGTTGTGCAAGAGGCAGCTGATGGATGATTCTCTCTCATCGGTGTTTCTGACTCTCTATCTCTCTACCTTCCTCTCTGTAAAAAATCAATAAAAAAAATATATATTTTAAAAAGAACCAGGACAAATAAATGCAATATAAAACTCTAAACGGAGTCCTTTGGCGTTGAAGGGCGGCCCTGGGAAAAGTGGGGAAACGGAAGACAAGGGTGAGAGGTTGAGACGGTGTGAGTGTGTCAGCCGCACACGCTGACCCTGACCCTGACCCTGAGCCTGACCCTGACGGTGGTCGTGCAAGGTCTGGTTTGCGGAGAGCACGCAGGAAGTACAAGGGGGGCGGAGCCATCCCCCTCCGACAGCTCCTCCCCTCCCCTCCCGCCCGCAGCCTCCTGTCACCTGCCCAGGTGCCGCCCATCATTGGAAATCGGGGCGCAAATGGGACGCGGGGCCGGGGCTTCAGGAAATGTGTGGGTTTCAGACAAGCTCTGGGCTTTGTCTCCGCTGCCTTTTTTGCACCAACAGGGAGGGGGATGCGGGGGGAGCCCGGGAAGGAGAGGGTCTCGACGCCTGAGACCCGCAGCAAAGCTCTGGGTGCGGATGGCGCCCCAACGCGAGAGGAAGGAGGGCCCAGAGAAACCCCGGCCCCTCCTCCGGAGATGCGATCATCAAACCCGAGGCTTCAAAGTGTTCCTACGTCACCAGCAAATGGTCCCCAAACTCTAAAACACAGCCCCGTGGGAGAGGAACTGGGGTACAACCAGAGTTCGTGCTCACAGACCAGCCCAGCACCCGCACCCGCACCGCCAGTGCAACCCCCGCCCCCACCCCCCAATGCACCGGGCGTGCAACCCCCCGCCACTCCCCCTTGCACCGGGGAGCAACCCCCAGACCCCCCTGCACCGGCCTTTGCAACCCCCGTCCCCCTCCCTGCACCGGGCGTGCAACCCCGCCCCCCCTGCACCGGCCCGTGCAACCCCGCCCCCGTGTCCCCCCACTTGCCTGCAGCTCCGCGGCCGCCGCGCGGACCAGGCAGTGCTCCTGCGGGGGACCCGCGTCCGCCGGGCCCGCCGAGATCCAGGCCACCCCGCGCTGGGCTCGCAGCACCCGGCGCACGCTCTCCCTCCACAGGCGGCTGACGCTGCGGGCGACCAGGAAGGCGGTGAGCGGAGCCACCGGGCGTCCTTCCCGCCCCCGCCCGCCCCGCCCCGCCCCGCCGGCCGCGCTCACCCGGCCACCCGCAGCAGCGCCCGGGCGGGCAGGAAGGAGAGCACCCGCTCCACCACCTCCGCCAGGTTGCTCAGCACGAAGGCGCCCGGGGGGTCCGCGGGGAAACCCCCGCCGCCGCCGCCGCCCGCCGGCTCCATCCCACCCTCAGGCTCCCGCGGCGGGGCCGCTGCGCCGAGGGGTCAGGAAGCCGCAAAAGCTCCGGCTCCGGCTCCGGCTCCGGCCGGCGCGCACTGCGCAGGCGCGCGCCACTTCCGGATGGGGCGGGACTTCCGGCGGCGGGCTTCCGCTGGATCGGGGAACTGGTCCTCCAGCTGTCAGTCCCGCAGGTACAGCGAAGCCTCCACCGGCCCCCACGCCCCCCACACCCCGCAAAGTCTGTTGGCACCACAAGCCCCGCTTCCCACGGGCGGTGTCTGCTTAGAAGCCGCCCTCCCGCGTGGGGACGGCGCTGATCCGATCCGCGCGTGGCCTGGCTGGACCGCCGCCTGCCCCACGGTCCCCCCCGCCTGCACCTCGGTCCCCCGCCTGCACCTCGGTCCCCCGCCCGCACCTCTGTCTCCTGGCTGCACCTCGGTCCCCCCGCCCGCACCTCATCCCTGCACTTCGGTCCCCCGCCTGCACCTCGGTCCCTCACCTGAACCTCATCCCCCGCCCGCACCTCATCCCCCGTCTGCACCTCGAGGCCCCCCGCCCGTACCTCATCCCCCCTCCACCTCGGTCCCCCCAGCCCGCACCTCATCCCCAGCCTGCACCTCGGTCCCACGCCCCCACCTCACTACCCCCAGGACGCACCTCAGTCCCCCCAGACCGCACCTCATCCCCCGCCTGCACCTCGGTCCCCCAGCCCGCACCCCATCCCCCGCCCGCACGCAGGGTAATTGGGGGGGCCCCCACTGGCACCCGCCTTGGCCAGCCTAGCAACAACCCACTTGCTAGTCCCGCCCCCTCACCGCTGCTGATTGGCGGGCACCCACCTTGGCTGTCCTGGGGCCCGCGGGCTGGGGGCAGCTCCTGCATTGAGCATCTGCCCCCTGGTGGTCAGTGTGCATCATAGCGACCAGTTGTTATTAGGCTTTTCTTCTATAGGATAACCTTTGACCTTCAAAACGTCCTAAAAGGGCCTCACAGGGTTCCCCAAATGACATGCTGAGAACCATGGGTCCAAGAAGAAGAGCCAGGAAGGGGAAGGCACCGAGTGGGGGCAGGGGTCACCGGAAGATGCCCCAGGAGACAGGACTCTGCCTCGGGTGCAGTAGCACGAAGGCACGTCCACCCGTAACTTTCAGTCCACAGGTGACATCAACACAGAGAAAACTTCCGTGCGAGGAGGCCACGGGGACCACACAGGGGGAGCAGGTGACTGACACGGGAGCCATGGGACGTTTCCATTGACAAACGGGTATGGGAGAGAGAAGATATGGAGGGAGCCGAAATCGGCTTGGTTCAGTGGCCAGAGCGTCAGCCTGCGGACTGAAGGGTCCCGGGTTCAATTCCGGGCCAGGGCATGTGCCTTGGTGGCGGGCACATCCCCAGTGGGGGGTGTGCAGGAGGCAGCCGATAGATGTTTCTCTCTCATGGATGTTTCTAACTCTCTGTCCCTCTCTCTTCCTCTCTGTAAAAAATCAATAAAAAAAAAAAGAGATGGAGGGAGACCCGAGCACACCACATCGGCACACAACGTTCCTGATTTGTCGCTCAAACCCACCTGCTCTCCCACGCGAGTCTCTCCTCACCCCCCAGATCCTACTCCAGACTCCACAGAGCTGCGGACACCGGGCAAAGGGCCCCTCCAAGGAGGGCAGAGGACAGTTCTTTTTTAAATGAGTCTTTATTCATAAACTTGATGCAAGTTTACAAAATTTACTGTACATTGCCAAATAAATCTGCAATGAAAAATAAAACTCCAAATAAAAACAAAGCATGCCAAAGGTGCAGCTGTCAATCTGCTTAGCCATCAGGATATTTCAAGAATTCAATAATGTATTCAAGATTCAGCCTTAGGTTTAAGGAACTGTAATGCTTTCAAGAATTCCGCCTTGTCGCCTGTCGGAGCCACTGTTATCAGAACGGAGCACAATGGAACGTAACCGCGTGAGCAGGAACCAGGACCCCGCCCCCGGCCCCCCGCGCGATGATGCAGCGGCCGAGTGAGTGGGCCTCTCCCGGGCGGCTTACAAAGTTAAAAACTGCCTCTCGGAGCAAGTGCCGGAGACACTTCGGAACTTTGTAAGCGATTTGTGCAGAAAATGTGCTTCTGGATTTTGTTTGAAAAGTGCTTAATAGCTAGACCTTACTTTGAAACCAAACGTGGGGATATAAAAAACCTATTTCCGATCTAACGGGACTGGTTCGGGTAAGGCAAAGAGAATGGAGAGTGTATATACTGATTCGAGTCAGGTTTTAGAAAAGAACTAATATGTGTGGAGTTCCTATTAGTCTTTAAGGAAAAGCCACTGTTAGGACTGTAGCAAAAAATTTTAGGTCTCCAAATGAGGGTAGTTTTGTCCTTAGCTGTGCAGCTTTTGCTCAGGGATTCTGTCTGTGTGCCAATCACTTTAGAAGTTTATTAGTTTACAAACGATTGCAACATCCCGTTAATAAAATGGAAATGTAAAACAACTTAGTATTTTAAATAACTTTAAGATCTCTACCGCGGAGCTCCATCAGACATACTGAACCGACAGCAGGCTGGGCCAGCAAGACGGAGGCCCGGGCGGTCGGGACGCCAGCCGAGGGGCTGACGGCCCGCTGAGCCGTCGGTTACGAGCAGGTCTGTGGGGAGCGGCCCCGTCGTCACGCAGCCATAAGTGTCACATTCCCGGAGCGGGCATTCTGTCGTCATTTTGGCAACATCATAGAGCGGTTTGTGCTAACCGGAGAAGGCTGCTGCGAGGCAGAAGACCTGACATTTTCTAAACCAATAGGAACACCAAACGACCTTTATTGGCTCTAAGGGAACGATACACTCAAGTCCTCACAGCGCACGTGCTCATACGGAGTCGTCGCCCTAAAGCTGCACCTCGGGAACCCGGTGCTGACTTGCCTGCTTAACAGATTCCGTTTTCCAAGAAAAGAGATGATGAGGAGTGGCCAGTGTGTGCATTTGTCGGGGAGCGTACAGTCCAGGCCCCGCTGCGAGCCCGAGGTTCCTAAGGAGCGATGAGGAGCTGGAACGGATGCGGTGCCGGTGACAGGTTATCCACTAAGTGTCTATCAGCTAACGTCGTCGGGCTGCTGTTATGGGCACTCGAAGCTGGTCTGCACGTGGGAAGGTTCTTTAAAGCAACGTTGGTCCGAGCCGGGGACGGTCCGTCCGCTTAGCCGTCTTCCTTCGGAGGGGTGTACCAGCCTGAAACATAGACGGGGGCACTTCAGTTCTTGGACTGCCAGGGGACTAAGCCAGCCCTTTCTCGGTCGTCATGTTCAAGTTTAAACCTCCTGCGGAAACGGGGCTCACTCTGGGCTGGGTCACGGCATCTCCCACGTTTACAACTGACGCCCCCGGTGGCAGGAGGGTCACGGCGCCTGATGGGCCCGAGGCCGTCACGGGCAGAGCCGCGCTCCCAGGAGCACCGAGCAGCAGGGGACCTCGAGCATCACGCACGTACAGCGCTGCCCGGGAGGATCCGGATGCAAACCAAACTGGTTCCTCCAAATCGCGTCACTTCACACCACCGTGAAGTCAACGCTTCTGGTCCAACCAGTGTGAGCGGGGATGTCCGCACAGTCATTTTCTCTTTTTTTTCCCCAGATATATTTTATTGATTTTTTACAGAGAGGAAGAGAGGGATAGAGAGTTAGAAACATCGATGAGAGAGAACCATTGATCAGCGACCACCTGCACACCCCCTATTGGGGATGTGCCCGCAACCAAGGTACGTGCCCTTGACCGGAATCGAACCCAGGACCCTTCAGTCCGCAGGCCGACGCTCCATCCACCGAGCCACACCGGCTTCGGCTGCACAGTCATTTTCTGAGCAAACTGCACATGAGTGTCAACATGCGAGCTCCATGCACTGGTGCTTCTGTGATGGTGAGTGTGGGACACTGGACCACAAGCTCGGTTCAGATCCCACTGAGATTCTTAGGAACCCCCCGAGAACAACTCACCCCAACAAAGTCCTGGGCCAGACCAGAACCAGAACCAGAACCAGAGGCACAGGCTGGGCCAGGGGAGGAGATTCTGTGACCAGCAGCGAAGGAGCCAGCGGCAGGGACCCAGCGACGGAAGCCAAACGAGGGCGCTGCCTGTTCTGACCCACCCCCCACGCAGACCCCACCGGGGCTGCAGAGGTCAGAGGTCAGCCAGGAAACCCAGGCTTGCCCAAATCTGAACTTGTCTCGCTCCCGAACCCAAAGAGGTTTGGTTACGATCACACCTCCCTTCCCTGCCTCCAGGGCTGCCTCTGCCGCACACCGAGGGCGACATCCACCAGCAGGAGCGCCAGGCCCGGCCTGTGGGCTCGCCTTGGCGTGGTCTGTGCCAGACTCAGCCTCCCAGAAGCAAGCCCTCACGAAGTGATAAGTTCCCGCTGTCCTTAAAGTGACAGCACACACGGCGCTCAGGCCACGAGCCGGCCCAGGCCCGGCAGGCAGAGGTTTGCTGTCACTCCCCATGGAGAAAAGGACCTGCGTGTCTCTCAGCAGCTCCCTCGCACCCAGAACCACAGCCTCACCACTGCACTGTGAAGGCTGCGCACACTGCTCGGACACTGCTTGGCAGACAGACGGCGTGCCAGCGGGCGGGAGCCTGCGGAGCGGCAGGGACACAGGTCTGATCCCGTCAGTGAGCTGCCTCCGTCAGACAGGACCCACCCCAAGCAGAGAATGCAGCGAAGTGAGGGGAGGCCAGAGGTTGTGAGGGAGACGAACGCTGGGTTAGCGTGAATGGAAACGGGCATGATCGGCGAGGGGCACCGCCATCGAGAGGCAGCCCCGGCCTGGTGACCTGTCACCGTTAGCAGGACCTGCACTTGCACAGGCCCCGCCCCATGAACACTCAGCTCCTGTGCGACACCACCCACCGCGGAGGAGTCAGAGGACCGTCCTCCTAGCACTCAGGAAGGGACTGATCGGGCTCTCAGGCCACGTCTCCAGGAACCAGGACTGGAAGGAGCCCGGGGGTGTGTGTGTGTGTGTGTGTGTGTGTGTCCCCAGGTTACATGTTCTCGGGGGTTACATGTACTTTACAAGATACTAAAGCAAAACCAGCACTGAACAGGACACACAGCCACTGCACAGGATGGGGCGCATACGGCAGTCCGTGCGTGTGGAATGAACGTACCGTTCTTCTCGTGTATCTGTACGATGGAATTATAAGACTGTTGGGCTCTTGCTAGGTTATATTGATTCTGAAAGAGAATTATACATTTTCAATCAAGACTGTACGCAGATGAAAATCATGGCACATAATTTATGCATGTGTCACCCTGTGCTTAAAAGAACACAAGAACCAATTATATTTCCATTTCAAAACGATTTTTAACTGAACGCCCTCCCGGCTGAAGTTCATTGTTCCTTATCATTTTATTCTATTATTATTTTTTAAAACATATTTTATTGATTTTTTTACAGAGAGGAAGAGAGAGGGATAGAGAGTTAGAAACATCTATGAAAGAGACCAGCTGCCTCCTGCACACCCCATCTCAACCAATGTACATGCCGACCTTGACCGGAATCGAACCTGGGAACCTTTTAGTCCGCAGACCGACGCTCTATCCACTTAGCCACACCGGTTTCGGCTGTTCCAAGTATTTTCAAATCTTCATATGACTTTTTACAAACCACGACTTAAAGTGTTTAACTTCCAGATTTATGTAGGTTGGGATTTGTCTTTTCATTATTGTCTTCTAACCTTAGTTGGAGCATATTTAACATGTATGATCTATATGGTACCAGTTATTCCTTGGTTATGAATTAATTTATAGTAAATATAATCTCCCTCCCATCTCTAACCTCCCCATTTCAATACCTCCTTATCACAAAGAGCAGCTGTCAGCACTTCCCTGAACACTCTCTATACTCTCATTATACTCTATTCTCTATATACTGTAGCCCCCCGGCCCCCCCCCTCTCGCGCGCACACACACACACACACACACACACACACACACACACACGGCAGCATATCTTTAAATACCACTCAGCACCTAGCCTTTTTAAAGCTAACAGACTGTCCCTGCTGACTTAGAACCCTGGAAGGTAACACTTGTATCGTGAAAAGTTCCCACATTCTTAGCTGACAAGCATTTCTCAAGGAAAAAAAAATGGAAGCTTAAGGTCTCATCGTAACAATTCATTTAAAAAATGTACCCGCCAAGACAGACTTTAACAGGCAAACATTTCTTAGCCTCTTGATGGCATTCTATGCAAATGGTTTTATTTATTTGCTAACAAACCTATAAAGCATGCCCTGGCTGATGTGGCTCAGTGGACAGTGCATTGGACGGCAGACTGAAGGGTCCCAGGTTCAATTCAGGTCAAGGGCACAGGCCCAGGTTGCGGGCTTAATCCCCATTGTGGGGCGTGCAGAAGGCTCATCATTGAAGTGTGAGATTTTTTAAAAATATTTTTTAATTGATTTTTTTTACAGAGAGGATGTTTCTCTCTCTCTCTCTCTTCCTCTCCCTTCCTCTCTGAAATCAATAAAAAATAAAAAAGTCTAGATCAGAGCTTAGCACGGAAAGGCTCTCTGGGAATTAACTATTATACACTTCAAAGTACACATACTTATGAGTGTATACATTCTTTTACTTACGAGTGTATACATTCCAGTAACACATTAAAGCCAGGCATGTGTACCTACAGTAAAAACGACAAAGACGAGAGGAACAGGGACGCCTCGGACGCCGGGAGAGCGGGGGACACAGGGATGTGACGTCAGGGAAAGTACCTTATTGGCTCCGAACTGCACCCTGGCTTTGCCTTTGACGAGGGTGGCGTTGATCTGCATGATGACGGACTCGATGGAGTAGGCACTGCTCCAGCCCTGCGGGAGGAAAGCGTCACTGAAGGCGTGGGAGAGCCGGCTGCACGCAGGCCGCACTCAGCACCAGAGGAGCACCGAGTGTCTGTGCTTGTGAGGGAAAGAGAAGCTGAGCCTCTGCTAAAAGCTCTTCCATGGCCAGTGTAGCTCAGTGGTTAGAGCATCAGCCTGCGGACTGAGGGGTCCCAGGTTAGATCCTGGCCAAGGGCATGAACCTTGGTTGCGGGCACATCCCTGGTAGGAGGTGGGAAGGAGGCAGCTGATCGATGTTTCTCTCTCACCGATGTTTCTAACTCTCTATCCCTCTCCCTTCCTCTCTGTAAAAAAATCAATTAAAAAAATATTTAAAATCTCACACACATGCGAGAAAAAGCCCAGTTAAATGCCCAACATGAGCAAATGATACCCTTAAATTAACTCACTTCCTGTCTTAGCAGAGATGAGACAGCCAAGTACAATGTTATGTTATGACTTATGTTGCATAGCTTTTTCACCATTAAAAGTGGCTGCTTTGCCAAAGCCGGTGTGGTTCAGTGGATAGAGCGTCGGCCTGCGGACTGAAAGGTCCCGAGTTCGATTCCGGTCAAGGGCATGTACCTTGGTTGAGGGCACATCCCGGTGGGGTATGTGCAAGAGGCAGCTGGTCGATGTTTCTCTCTCATCGACGTTTCTAGCTCTCTATCTCTCCCCCTTCCTCCTCTCCGTGAAATATCAATAATATATATATATAAATTATAAAAGTGGCTGCTTAATATGGTATTAAAATAAAACACTTAAGCCGAAACCAGTCTGGCTCAGTGGATAAAGCGTCTGCCTGAGGACTGAAGGGTCCCAGGTTCAATTCTGGTCAAGGGCATGTACCTTGGTTCCGGGCACATCCTCAGTAGGGGGTGTGCAGGAGACAGCTGATGGATGTTTCTCTCTCTCTCTCTTTTTTTTTTTTTTTTAATATATTTTATTGATTTTACACAGAGAGGAATTGAGAGGGATAGGGAGTTAGAAATGTCGATGAGAGAGAAACAACGACCAGCTGCCTCCTGCACACCCCCCACTAGGGATGTGCCAGCAACCAACGTACATACCCTTGACCGGAATCGAACCCGGGACCTTTCAGTCCGCAGGCCAACGCTCTATCCACTGAGCCAAACCGGTCCCGGCAGATGTTTCTCTCTTATCGACGTTTCTAGCTCTCTATCCCTCTTCCTTCCTCTCTGTGGAAAATCAATAAAATATATATATTTAAAAATAAATAATATAAAATAAAACACTTAAAAATCTTAGCGTCAAGCGGAAACCGGTTTGGCTCAGTGGTAGAGCGTCGGTCTGCGGACTGAAGGGTCCCTGGTTCGATTCCGGTCAAGGGCATGTACGTTAGTTGCGGGCACATCCCCGGTAGCGGGTGTGCAAGAGGCAGCTGGTCGATGTTTCTCTCTTATCGACGTTTCTAGCTCTCTCTCTCTCTCTCTCCCTTCCTCTCTGTAAAATATCAATAAAAAATATATTTTAAAAAATCTTAGCGTTGAGTCTTTCCACTCAGTCTGTCTGACATAATGGCAGCCCGTGGAGGGGAAGCCCAGCACCCTGGGCTAAGGGCCGCGTGGCCAGGGGCTCAGGCCACAGCTCGGCCTCACAGGAAGGGCTGCAGGTCCAATTCCCGGGCAAGGACACACCGGGGGGCAGGCTCAGTCCCCGCCCAGGTCAGGCATGGGCAGCGGGCAACCGATCAATGCGTCTCTCACATCGATGTCTCTCTCTCTCTCAAACCCCCTCCCTTTCCCTCACTCCCTTCCACTCTCTAAAAATCAATGCAAAAAATATCCTCCGGTGAGGATTAACAAAAAAAGAAAAGTCACCTGTTTTGTGAGGAGTTCCATACATAACGCACCACCACCCAGCACGTACCTGAAAGAAAAGAGGAATCACACACAGTTCTTGGGTTCAGCATGCCTCCCTAGTCTGGGTGTACATGGCTAAGGAGACACGCACAGGTGTGAAGACTAGGTCAGCGGGAACACACAGCGGGCAGGGTCACTCGGATCTAATGCCAGCGCCTCTGCAGCCTGGGGACAGGTACTGACAGACCCTCAGCTCTCAGGGAGCAAGAACTCAGCCTCTGTACCCCGAGGAGGGGACGGGAGGGGACGGAGACCCCACTTCCTAGAAGGTATGATGAGCAATGTCGCTGCCACCATCCAGACAGCGAGGCTTTCCCTCCCACACACTCCCCTCTATCCGTGACCGTGAGCAGTTGCGGTCACGGTCAGACGTCTCCACCCTGGTGCCGAGGCCAAGGGGAGCCTGCCCTGTGCCTCCTGCTCTCCTCCGGGCCAGAGCTGCTCTCCTTGATCAAGACCCGTCGCCGAGTCTCGCCTTGCGGCCAAGATCAAGTGCAGATCGAGATCCTTCTGCCTTTTGACACTTTTCCAAACAAAATAACATTGTTCCACCTTTAATGTTATCTTAAACTCGAAAATACGTGAACTACCACGCCTACAAATAAAATCAAGGGGTGATATTAGACAAGTAAAACCGCAGGAATCCCGAAAACCAGAAAACCAGTCGGACCCGAGCAGGTCTGTGTGAGGGCCCAGTCTGAGTGCCTGCTTCGTCCTCGGGGCTGGCCTTCCCGTCCCCTCGGCTCCTCCCGCTCCTCGGCCCAACGACAGGCCGCCCTCCCCGCAAACTGCCAGGACCCTCCGCCTGGGACTGTGGTTCCAGCTAACGGAAGACCTCCCGTGTTTAATGTGACCAGATGTCCCGATTTTTAACAAGTTGTCCCGAGTCCTGCAGCGTTTTAAAAAAGTCCCGATTTTTGGAAAGATTCCTGCGGGACAAATTGTTAAAAATCGGGACTGTCCTGCCCAAAGTGGGACGTCTGGTCACCTTACCCATGTTGCATAAACCAAATCACTTAACCAAGTAAGAAGCCTGACAATTATTCACTTGCAGAGCGGGGCAATAACCCCACTGTGGGAAGAAGAATCCGTAGAGGGAAACTAAGATTTTAAGCTGAAAACGGTCCGTCAGCTCTTGGTGCAGCCAGGCGGGCGGGCATACGTTTAAGCAGCTCCATTATTGCTGACGGGTGGTCAGGCCTGTGGAGGAGGGGGTGTCTGCCGAGACCTGAGGGACAGGAGTCCCTACTTGTGTGTCTGTCTCCACGCCAGGTGGTGAACTAGGTAAGGCCATACATTCCTGGCATTCTTGGCATTTCTCACAACAAAATGTGAAAAATCCATGCGGGTCAAGTTCCTATCAAGTTTCAAAACAGCCAAAACCGGTGTGGCTCAGTGGATAGAGCATCGGCCTGCGAACTGAAGGGTCCCGGGTTCGATTCCGGTCAAGGGCAGGTACCTTGGTTGCGGGCACATCCCCAGTAGGAGGTGTGCAGGAGGCAGCTGATCGATGTTTCTAACTCTCTCTCCCTCTCCCTTCCTCTCTGTAAAAAATCAATAAAATATATTAAAAAAAATTTTTCAAAACGATATGACAAAATATTTTCATAGGTTTATCCTAAACTTGCAGAAGTTTTCCAAATCTTTTCCTCAGCATGTATAGCTGCCCTTATTTTTAATCTCGATGAAACAAGACTGACTTCAGAGGCGATTGAGGTTAAGAGTATATTTACAGCCGGGACTGGTTTGGCTCAGTGGATAGAGTGTCCGCCTGCGGATTGAAAGGTCCCAGGTTCGATTTCGGTCAAGGGCATGTACTTTGGTTGAAGGTACATCCCCAGTAGGGGGTGTGCAAGAGGCAGCTGATCGATGATTCTCTCTCATCGATGTTTCTAGCTCTCTATCCCTCTCTTCCTCTCTGTGAAAAATCAATAAAATATATTAAAAAAAGAAAAAAAAAGAGTATGTTTACACTTGAATCACCATGACCCTCTGACACGGTGATGGTCAGCTGAGCATCTCGGAATTCGCTAAGCTCAGCCGCTCCTCCTTGGAGGGTCCATGGGACACCTCACACCCATCCCAGCTCGCTCTCAGACCCCTCCCACCCCGAAGACATCCGACGGCCAGCCCCCGGGCCGGGAGAGGCCTTGATGGGTCCTGCGAACACAGGCAGGAGGGACTCACTCTGTAATCTGACTTCTCTGGATACTCCATCACAATTCCCATCTTAAAAACATTGGCTTTTCATGGTAAAATGTGTGCAAATAGGGCCATTAAAACTCCCCTGTGCACACACATGGTTGGTTCCGGTGGTTCCCAAACTGTGGTACCCAGACAAGCACCATGAGCTGTGCCTGCGGCCGCTGAGAAACATCACTTCCCGGGCCTCAGCCCCCAACCAGCCCTCGAGAGCTCCCGGCGCACACGATCACAGAAAAGGTCACTTACACTTACCCTCCGGAGAGAACCGGCAACACCACGCGGACGAATGGAGGATCAAACGGGAAGTTATCCTAAAGGGCAAATCAGCCGGTTAGGTCCATTTTCAGAACACCCTCAATACCGTATTTTTTAGTCCATTTGCTATCTGAGGCTGAGTGAGGGTCACGAAGTTAAAATAGTACCAAAAAGAAAATGGAATAAAAGCCAGAGCTCTAGCTGGTGTGGCTCAGTGGATAGAGAGTCAGTCTGCGGATTGAAGGGTCCCTGGTTCAATTCCAGTCGGGGGCACATGCCTGGGTTGTGGGCTCAATCCTCAGTAGGGGGCGTGCCAGGGGCAGCCGATCCATGACTCTCTGTCATCATGGATGTTTCTGAACAGGCCACCATGCAGCAAGCACACGTCTGGGCAGGGCACACTCCCAGGGGATCCCTGAACACGGAGCCCAAGAACCCCCCAACCGTTTTCCCAAGCAACCGGACAAACGCGCATTCCCGCGAGATGCACAGGAGTTTGGTCAGTGTTCTTACCTTAAAAGAGAAGTTAAGCAAAATATATTCTATGCCTTCTTTTTCTTTTAAGATCTGAAGGTCACTGTGCAAAGGACTATCAGGATCCACCCTAAGAATTAGAAAAAAAAGTCAGATTCTTTTCTCACCGACCTCAAAAAGGACCCGGCCCAAGCGCTGACAGAGCCCCAGGGTGAGGTCTGAGCAGACAAGCTCTACAGCTGTTCTGTGGAAAAGCAAATTCTAGAAACCCCAACTCCGAGGGATGAAATGTTCAAAGAGATCACAGCCTGGCCGGTGTGCTCAGGGGTGAAGGATCCACCTATGAACCAGGTCACGGTTGCATTCCGGGTCAGGGCACATGCCCAGGTTGCCGGCTCAATCCCCAATAGGGGGCGTGCAGGAGGCAGCCAATCAGTGATTCTCTCTCATCACTGATGTTTCTAACTCTCTCTCCCTCTCCCTTCCTCTCTGAGATCAATGAAGATATATTTAAAAAGAGAGAGAGCCGAAGCCGGTTTGGCTCAGTGGTAAAGCGTCAGTCTGCGGACTGAAAGGTCCCAGGTTCGATTCCGGTCGAGGGCATGTACCTTGGTTGTGAGCACATCCCCGGTAGAGGGTGTGCAGGAGGCAGCTGGTCGATGTTTCTCTCTCATCGACGTTTCTAGCTCTCTATCTCTCCCCCTTTCTCTCTGTTAAAAATCAATAAAATATATTAAAAAAAACAAAACAAAACAAAAAAAACACCTTTCTAAAAAGAGAGAGACAGACAGACAGACACCCGGTATTCCAGCTCTGGGCGGTGTTGCTCCGTGTTAGAGGGTCGGCCGAGCACTGAAGGCTCCTGGTTCCTTCCCAGTCAAAGGCACATAGCTGGTTGCAGGTCTGATTCCTGGTTGAGGCTCTTAGGGGAGGCAACTAATCCATGTGTTTCTTTCATGTCAATGTCTCTCTTACCCTCTCCCTCCCTCCCTTCCACTCTGTAAAAATTGGTGGAAACGATATCCTCAGGTGAGGACTAAAAACTACAAAAAAAAATGCATAATATTCTCAAGCGATTCAAAGTCAGCAGTCATTCTAGAGAAGATGGTCATGTCATCTACCTAATAAAAAGAGTAAATGCTAATTGACTGTATCTTCACAACACTCACCAGCCAATCAGGCACGAGTATGCAAATTAACCCAATAAAGATGGCAGGTTCTTTTGCACACACAGGTGCTGAGCAGCTGGGGGCAGGATGCCTGTGTTGCTACAGGCATTCTGCACCACCCCGGCTGCTCCGGGCCTCTGGGCAGCGTGGGAAGGCGGAAAGGCGGCTCTGGCTGAAGCGAAGGTGCTGCCGGCAGCCAGGGAAAAGGGCGGGCCATTCTTGCACGAATCTTCGTGCATGGGGCCTCCAGGATGCACAAAATTTTCCCAAGGACTCAAAAAAAACGTCATCTCCTTTCGTAAAACTGCATTATTAGACGAGGGTTCACGAAGATATATTTACCGTGGATGAGACCAGAGAACACAAAGCCCTGACAAAATCTAACTGCCTGTTCGGGTCTCACCACATCCCTCCCTTCACAAACAAGCTGCCACCACGGTCCCCCTCGCCCGGTTATTCAATCCACTCGTGTCCATAGTCCCTGCCTCCCCTCCTCCAGGAGCCACTTCCCCACAGCCGCCCCTTCCCTCCCCGCTTCTCGCCTCACGGTCACTAAGCCCCAAAGCCGCTCATCCTGACACCGCAGAGCGACTCGGGAGCTGCAGTGCCAGGAGAACTCCGTGCTCACGGCACCAGAGGGCGCTCTCCGTGCGGGTGTGCTGCCCGCCGTCACCGCGAGAGGGCGAGCAGGAAGCCACTTACTTCTGAAGCTTCACGTGCCAGTCGTACAAGCTGTCATTGATGAGCTCCACGGAGTAGAACCCTGCGGAGATCAGCGTGTCAGTGGCTCTTCACTGGTGGGTGACTGTCACTCCAGTGAAGTATGGACACTAACAGCCCCAAAGCTAGGAATGTTGCCACTGAAAGTGCGACAGAGCTATGTGGTAATGCTTTTGTTATGAGAGCCGAGTACCGCATGCCCATCCCAGGCCCTTGGAGCCATCAACAACAAGAAGCTTCTGTAACGAGGTGAGAAATTATGTTTCATGAACTGTGAGTGGTAGAAAGAAATCACGTGAAATCCTACGCACCTTTCTTCACACACACGCACACATTTCTATAAAAATGGGTGACCCCGCCAAAACCGGTGTGGCTCAGTGGTAGAGCGTCTGCCTGCGGCCTGAAAGGTCCCAGGTTTGATTCCGGTCAAGGGCATGTACCTTGGTTGCGGGCACATCCCTGGTAGGGGGTGTGCAAAAGGCAGCTGGTCGATGTTTCTCTCTCATCGACGTTTCTAGCTCTCTATCCCTCTCCCTTCCTCTCTGTAAAATATCAATAAAATATTTTTAAAAATGGGTGACCCCGCCAAAACCGGTGTGGCTCAGTGGACAGAACATCAGTCGGTGGACTGAAAGGTCCCAGGTTCAATTCCGGTCAAGGGCATGTACCTTGGTTGCAGGCACATCCCCAATGGGATGTGTACAAGAGGCAGCTAATGGATGTTTCTCTCTCATTGATGTTTCTATCTATCCCTCTCTGTAAAAAAAAATCAATAATATATACATACATACATACATATATATATATATATATATATATATATATATATATATATATTTTTTTTTTTTTAATGGGCACCCCCTATATATATATATATATAGTTTCATCTCCTTTCCTGGAGCATCTGTCCTACTTAGTATACAGAAACCTATTGTCAATTTCTTACTATTTCTTAGCGTAATTTACCCAATTCCACCCTACATCTGATTAGTTTTTTTATGTTCTGTTACTCCAAACAGTGCTGGAGAAACAAGTTATTTAACATTTAAAGACAAGCCATTACTCAAACATTTAACTGCATGCTTAAGAGGTTTCTACAGATAAACTTCTAGACACGCTGCTCAGAACAGAACGGAGTGCAGTTTAAAACTATGGACCGGCCCTGGCCGGTAGCTCAGTTGGTTAGGGGAACCCAATAAGCTAAGGTTGTGGGTTCGAGCCCCAGTCGGGGCCCATACAAGAATCAATGAATAAATGCATCAGTAAGTATCACAGCGAACTGATGTTTGTTTCTCTCTCTCCATAAATAAAACTTAGGAATTGTTTGCTTCTGGAATGTTCCATTTGATATTTTCGGACTCCCACTGACCGTGGGTAACTGAAACCATGGATAAGGGTGGGGGTGCTGTACACTCACCCTATTTCACCCACATCTTTTTTTTTTTTTTAAATATGATATATTTTATTGATTTTTCACAGAGAGGAAGAGAGAGGGATAGAGAGTCAGAAACATCGATGAGAGAGAACCATCGATCAGCTGCCTCTTGCACACCCCCTACTGGGGATGTGCCCGCAACCAAGGTCCATGCCCTTGACCGGAATCGAACCCGGGACCTTTCAGTCCGCAGGTCGACACTCTATCCACTGAGCCAAACCGGTCCCAGCTCACCCACATCTTTTGATAACTCGGTCACATTTATGTTGCACATCCCTCCCATGAAGTCAGTAAATAGTTCCGGTTCTGTCCAACCACGAGAAGCAGCTGGACTGACACTGGAAAGGCGCAGACGACCGACCCGGGCCGCGGGCTCACCTGCTTTGTAGCTCTGCGAGCGGTAGATGTCCCTGAGCTCCTTCATCAGCCGGTCTGAAGCCTGCACCGACCCGGACACGGCGCCCTGCAACACAGCCGGGACCGCGGTCAGACAGCCGGGCCCCGGGTGTCTGAGCCGGAATGCCCGTGTCCCGTGACACTTCAAACGTGGACCACCACTTTCATGTTAAGAAGCCAAAAAAGTTAACACGTTAAGTCAAAGCTTATGAGGGACAAGCCTGGTTCAGGTACTGCTTCTTCCCGTCTGCAAACAAGTCCAGCCAGGGTGTCTGGTCGCCACAGCCCTGCCACATCTGGGACTCACTTTTGTCTCTTCCAGATCCCACCCTTTTCCCCCACCTGTGTGTAAGGGTTTATTTTGTAGCTTTCCATTCGCAGCAAAATCAAGAGGAAGACACAGCCGAAACCGGTTTGGCTCAGTGGATAGAGCATTGGTCTGCAAACTGAAAGGTCCCAGGTTCGATTCCGGTCAAGGGCACGTACATTGGTTGCGGGCACATCCCCGGTAGGGGGTGTGCAAGAGGCAGCTGGTCAATGTCTCTCTGTCATCGATGTTTCTATCGGGTCTAGTAATAATTTATGTCGTTTTTAAACATTCGTTTAAAATCTTGCTTGGCGTTGACTTGTATTGACATAACCTTCAAACACGTGGTATCTACAGAACGTGTGAAGTGCAATTAACGAGTTTTGCTTGAAAAAGTTTGAGTTTGGTTTGGTTTTTGTTCCAAAACTAGGGCTAAGAAGATGGCGGATGAAGAGCATATTCGGCACTGCATGCTTTACGAGTTCCAATTAGGAAGAAAAGCAAGTGAGGCTGCAAAAAACATCTGTAGTGCTCTTGGTCAAGATGCAGTTAGCGCCAGAAAATGCCAGCGTTGGTTTGAGAAATTTCGCGAGGGAAATTTTTCGTTAGATGACAAGAGTGGTCGAGGCCGTGTGTCCAATTTTGATCAAGAAGCTCTTCAAGCTCTTTTGGTGCAAAATCCTCAAATTACCCAACAAGAGCTTGCGACAACTTTAAATTGTTCACAAAAACAATTTCCAATCAATTGCGTGCACTTGGCAAAGTCCAAAAGTTTGGAAAATGGGTTCCTCATGAGTTGACCGACAACAACCGTAATCTAAGAGTCACAATTTGCAGTTCGCTCCTCTCTCGTCAAAACCGTTTGCCGTTTTTAGAGCAAATTGTTGCTGGAGATGAAAAATGTGTGCTGTATGTTAATTTGAAAAGGCGGTCTCAATGGTTGGACAAAAATGAGGCTCCGCAGCCCACGCCAAAACCTGACTTGCATGCAAAAAAAGTGATGTTGTGTGTTTGGTGGAATTTTAAAGGAATTCTTCATTATGAACTTTTACCATCTAACCAAACCATTACAAGTGCAGTGTATAGTGCCCAATTGGAAAGGTTAGCCCAAGCTTTAAGAGAAAAAGAACCCGCGCTGATTAATCGGAAGGGTGTAATTCTTCACCACGATAACGCACGACCGCATACTGCAAGAATCACTGCTGAAAAACTGCGCCAGTTGGAATGGGAAGTTCTCCCTCAACCTGCATATTCTCCTGATATTGCCCCTTCCGATTACCATTTGTTTCGTTCTTTGCAAAACTTTCTTCTTGGAAAAAAATTTAATAATGAAGAATGCCTCAAAAATGCATTGACCGAATTTTTTGCATCAAAATCACAAGAATTTTACAACAGAGGGATTAAAATGCTTCCTGAGCGTTGGGCACAAGTAGTAGAAAACAACGGCAACTATATTGTTGATTAAATTTTGTTGTATTGTTTAAATAAATTCGATTTAAAAAAGTATTAGAAAACGACATTAATTATTACTAGACCTAATAGCTCTCTATCCCCCTCCCTTCCTCTCTGTAAAAAAATCAATAAATTAAGAAAAAAAAAAGAGGAAGACACAGCTTTCCCACAGGGTGTCTCACAAGCACAGTCTCCCTCACCCGAGGGCACGTGTCCTATGACTGATGAGCCTGCAGCAAGGGACTACCCAGAGCCCCCTCGACCTCCCACGGCCCACGTGACCCCCAGGCTCATCGGTGTGGCACTCTATGCCTTACCACATGTGTCAAACACAAGGCCCGCGGGCCAAATCCGTCCTGCCAGGCCTTGCAATGTGGCCCGCACCGCGCTGTCATCACTGCACTCCGCTGCGTTTCCATCACAATGACAGTTTATGACTGTTCAGTAAACCATTCGGCCCGCGATTTAGGCTGGATTTTAGATTTTGGCCCCTTCTCTGATTGAGTTCGACACCCCTACCTTAGACACATGTATGAGGACACGCATCCCTCGTTAGGGCATAGAATGCTGCATCTCGATGCTCTAAAAAAGATGGGCCCATTGAACTGACACAGTAGGTAAGGCCGCGAGGAGATGGGCCACCCGTTCCCACAGCTGTGTCTCCTGGCATGAGAACTCATCATGTCCGAGACACAGCCGAAAGCACAGCGGCCTCAGGCCTCACGGGGCTGGGAAGTAGCTCTCATGAGGGCAGTAGGTGGTGTTCAGACAGAAACCCTCCTCTCACGTGATGTTGTCCTACTCTGTCTGGCATTTATGGGCGGGACTCGTTCCTCTTCTGAGAATCACCCAGAAGGCTCCCCAGGGCCCCCTTGCATGTGGAGTCAAGGGAACTGAAGCCATAAGGCTAAGGTGACCAGACGTCCCGCTTTTGGAATCTTTCCAAAAATCAGGACTTTTTAAAAATGCCACAGGACGTGGGACAAATTGTTAAAAGTCAGAACTGTCTCGCCAAAAGCGGGATGTCTGGTCACCTTACATAAGGTGCTCCTGTCATCAGAGCACACCTTTCACACACCCGCTGCTGCACCCAAAGGCGTGACAGCAAAGACCAAATGGCGTTTGGTCCCACCAGGGCAGCGCCTCCTGGAGGAGGAGGACTGAGCTGCACGTGAGGAGACAGAATTAACACGCAGCCGTGAGAAAACGGCAGAGGCGGACTGGGATGCTGGGGGGAAAAGGCAGAGGAACAGGGCGAGATGGCGATCAGCAGACGAGAAAGTGAACCGCCGATAAAAAACCCGCGGCACCAAGGCCCAGCCTGAGCCCCACGGCGGCTGGAGGGCCGCTGAGCTGGCGCTGGGTGAAGGGCCCGTGTCCACGTGATCGCCTACAACGAGCTACGTAGCCCTAAGCCCCCGTCCCAGAATGTTACACATACATTGAGATGGTCTTGCCTTTGAGTCTTCCTAATCTTCTCCAGTATCGCCAAGTTCTCCTTCTCGATTCCTTCGTCTTCCGACTTCTTCCCGCTGACAGGCTCCTCCTCCTTCATCTCGTAGTGGTCCAGGTCCTCGATGTCCTGCAAACAGCAGACGCGTGAGTGCTCCCGCTCTGGCCCGAGGCCGAGGACTCCTGACTGGAGGGAGGAGAGAGCCCCGTGTGTCCTACAGGACGGGGTAAGGGGCCTTCATTCACACCCATGCAAAGGCTGTCTGCTCACAGCTCCCACTCTGCTATAAAACTAGAATCTGAGAAAGGCATCTTTAATACCTGTTACCAAAGAAGCCATCTTTTCAGTCTCCTACGAAGAGATTTGAAATAGTTTAACATCGAGACATCAAGAATCTTGTGTTTGCCCTGGCCGGTGTGGCTCAGTGGATAGAGCATTGGCCTGTGGATTGAAAGATCTCGGGTTCGATTCCGGCCAAGGGCACATGCCTGGGTTACGGGCTCGATTCCCAGTGTAAGAGGCAGCCAATCAGTGATTCCCTCTTATCATTGATCATTGATGTTACTCTCTCCCCCCCTTCCTCTCTAAAAAATCAATAAAATATAATTTTAGTGCTAAATATTAAGAGCTCTTTTTCCCAGAAAACCAAATCTGCGACATCAGGAAGCAATTTATTCAAAAGCACACATTAGAGGTAAAAGCCAGATTTTATATACAATTAAAGCCATCAATTATATTCAATTCCAGGAACAGTGTGCTCTTCATTATTCCCCACTAACACTGGTGTGTAAGGAGATTAGAGGAATCACTAAGATTTTCCGTCACGAAGATATCCACACCATGTTCTCCTGTAAGACACCCACCTCCGCCATCTCCTCCTCGTCTTCCTCTTCCGACGTCACTTCCTCTGTGGTTCCATTCTGCAAAGGAAGGAGAAGGTGCCAGGCCAGCGGGCAGCACACCCTGGGCACTGGGAGATGCCAGGGGCCTGACTGTCCCTCTCCTGCCCCGACTCCAGAGGACCGGTGACAGGTGACAGGGACACAGCTACTGAACTCCAGCTCTGATTGGACAAACGCCTACCAGCTTTTTAAAAGAAACGCCACAGGATGCGGGACAAATTGTTAAAAATCGGGACTGTCCCGCCAAAAGCGGGACGTCTGATCACCTTAGCTTCAATCTCTCCTACAAGCTGTCACCAGCAAGAACTCCCTATCAACCCTCAGTATCTCCCCAAAAGATGAATGAGGAGAGGAAGGACAAAGCTATACATGAACGAGCAACACAGACTGGATAGATACTTGAGAAAAGTCTTTAAAAAGAACAAGACCAGGCACATCCCCAGTATGGGGTGTGCAGGAGGCACCTGATCGATGATTCTCTCTCATCGATGTTTCTAACTCTCTATCCCTCTCTCTTCCTCTCTGTAGAAAATCAATAAAATACATTAAAAAAAAAAGAAAAAGAAAAAAAGAACAAGACCAAATAAACTGTTATTTAAAAATATATTTTTATTGGTTTCAGAGAGGAAAAAAGAGGCAGAGAGAGAAACTTCCATGATGAGAAAGAATCATGGATCTGCTGCCTCCTGCCCGCCCTCCACTGGGGATCAAGCCTACAACCCAGGCGTGTGCCCTGACCGGAATCAAACCTGGGACCCTTCAGTTCAAAGGCTGACGCTCTATCCACTGAGCAACACCAGCCAGGGCAATAAATTGTTTTTAAACATAGGTATTAAAGGGACAATTGAGGTGCTAGAGGGAGGACAAGACGCTTGCACATAAACTACGGGTAACACCCAGAAGCAGAATGAACGCTGTGAGTAGGAACAGTCATCTCAGAATGTGTGGGTCTCCTGTGGAGAAGACCCCATGAGCCACAAGTCCCAGCCCTCACCCCTTCCTCAGGCTTCCCACAATCCACTGGTCTTTGAGTGAACCACTGACGTGGTGAGAGTGACACTGGCCAGTTCCCAGCTTAATCCTCAAAGGGCCTGGCAGCTTCCAGATCGGAAGACAAAACTAAGGATCCTATCAGCTTCCTGAAGAAAGAGGAGGGCAGGGCGATGGGGAGGGGAGGGCAGGGTGATAGGGAGGGTGGGGTGATGGGGAGGGCAGGGCGATGGGGAGGGGAGGGCAGGGTGATGGGGAGGGCGGGGTGATGGGGAGGGCAGGGCGATGGGGAGGGGAGGGCAGGGCGATGGGGAGGGCAGGGCGATGGGGAGGGCAGGGCCTCGTGGAGAAAAGGCAGGCAGCAGGCGGCAGGCATAGGGAGAAGCCCTGTGGGCACGCAGGGCAGTGTGCCCAGAGGGCCCCGGCCCCGGCCCCGGCCCCAGCCCGGGGCTGACTGCACAAGAGGCAGCAGCCTGTCAGGTAAGGCAAGCCCGCCCACCCCGTCAAGAGGCGGAGAGTACATTATTTAAGCCATCCAGTCCTGGGGTAACTGGATCAGCAGCACATACCCAAAACAAAACTTAAAGTTACGCTGTCCTAATAAAGTCCTAAATGCTGGGAGATGAGAACATTTCCTAGCATTTGAAATTAAGACGGAGAGAGAGAACAGAGGCACAGTATCCGAGACAGAGATTCAAGCAGAGTCTCCGATCCCCGGAGCAGGCGTTTCCACAGGAAGAGAGAACGGGAGGAGAGAGGAGCCGAAGGGAGCGCACACCCACCACGGAGACGACGTGAGCCCATCGGAAAAGGCCCCTCCGGGAGCAGGGAGGAAGATCTGCTAAGCCCACGCTGAGCTCCCGCGGAGATGGGAAGGTTCAGAGGGCACAGGCTTGCCTGCACGCTGGCTGAGTTAACACCCAGGACAGCATTTCCAGCCAGAGCCCCACATCCAGCCCAACCCCCAACCCATGTGAGACCGACTAAGCCGTTCACACTGACGGGCACTTACACGTCCCGCACATGCCCTACAGCACTAACCTTGTAGCCTTCAGAGCCCCCAACACTAAGGTGACCAGGCAGTACAGTCCCGATTTTTAACAATTTGTCCCACATCCTGCGGCCTTTTAAAAAAGTCCTGATTTTTAGTGCTCTCCGTGCAAATCATCGCGGGCTCCACCAGATCTCCTATGAAGCCAAATGCTCCAGGCTAGCTTGGCCAGGCCCACTCAGTGGCTGCGGTGGGCCCATTTGGCGACCTAGGCCGTCTCGGTGCCCCGCCTCTCCCCTCATTGGCCAATTTGGTGTTCCGGGCGGCTTCTAGCCGGGGTGCCAGGCTCGAAAAAAGTCCTGATTTTTTTTTATTTTTTTATTTTTGCCAAAACCAGTGTGGCTCAGTGGATAGAGCATCGGCCTGCGGACTGAATGGTCCCAGGTTCAATTCTGGTCAAGGGCATGTACCTTGGCTGCGGGCACATCCCCACTGGGGGGTGTGCAAGAGGCAGCTGATCGATGTTTCTCTCTCATCAATGTTTCTAACTATATCCCTCTCTCTTTCTCTCTGTAAAAAATCAATAAAATATATATATTTTAAAATAAATAAAAATAAAAAAGTCCAGATTTTTTGAAAAATCTTTTAAATATTCTGGACTTTTTTAAAATGCGGCTGGACACGGAACAAATTGTTAAAAAGCGGGACTGTCTGGCCAAAAGCGGGACGTCTGGTCACGTTATCCAACACTGCCCCCTGGAGGAAGGGAAGTGGCTGCACACAGGGCTGGGGGAAGAAATACAGTTCCTGAGCAGCAGAACCGAGCGTGAAACGAAGGTGCCTCCCACCCTTCCCAGGTTTCCGAGGTGCACTCAGGCAAAGGGGAACGGCGAGCCCAGAAAGGTGGCCCCAGGTCAGGGACAGACCCACGCGAGCAGAGGAGACAAGAGCAGGTCAGACGCAGCTGTCCCGCCAGCTCAGAGAGCCACCCCCAAGAAGGGCAGAACCAAAGGCTCCGAAGCGAGGGCGCTCACAAAGGTGGAGAGAACAGCCAAAGCCAGTTTGGCTCAGTGGATAGAGCGTCGGCCTGCGAACTGAAGGGTCCCGGGTTCGATTCCGGTCAAGGGCATGTACCTTGGTTGTGGGCACATACCCAGTGGGGAGTGTGCAAGAGGCAGCTGATCGATGATTCTCTCTCATTGATGTTTCTAACTCTATCCCTCTCTCTTCCTCTCTGTAAAAAATCAATGAAAATATATTAAAAAAAAAAAAAAAAAGTGCAGAGGACACGGAGAATTATCATCCTCGGGAGGCATCCTGTCATCCCAGACTCCCTAGGGCACGGCGCGGAGGAGACACAGCTGGGGATGCGTGAGGGAACCGGGCTTGCAGGCGAGGAAGTGAGTCAGCACAAGCCACAACCGAGGAAGCGAGAGCAGGTATGGAACCGGAACAACAAGGGTGAGCGTGGGAGGGGCCGGGTCTCTGTCTGTCACAGCGAATTCACTCCAAAAAGTGAAAAGCATGGTGCGGACAGCAAAGCAAACAAAGCCCTGACCGGTGTGGCTCAGTGGATAGAGCGTCGGCCTGCAGACTGAAGGGTCCTGGGTTCGATTCCGGTCAAGGGCATGTACCTTGGTTGCGGGCACATCCCCAATAGAGGGCGCGCAGGAGGCAGCTAATGGATGATTCTCTCTCATCGATGTTTCTAACTCTATCCCTTTCCCTTCCTCTCTGTAAAAAAATAATAAAAAATATATTTTTTTAAAAAGTGAAAAGAGTGGTGGCTCCAGTGAAGCATCCAACAGCAGCACCAACCCTGACACGCTGCACGCTAAGCGAGGAAAGCACCCTAGCTTCGCTTGGCCTGAGCCCACTCCTCGGCGCGGGGCCCAGGAAGGCTTCCGTACCTGGCCCGTGGGCAGCGGCTGGTCGAGCAGCTCCACATCCAGGTGCTTGGGAAGGTCGTGCAACCTGCAGAGCTCACAGATCAGCCACTTCAGCTGCTGGCGGAGCTGCAAAACAGTCAGAGAAACGGCGTCAGAGGCCTCAGCCGACACAGTCACGCTAACTGTAACCAGCCTGGCAGGAAGGGAAAGGTGCTGCTGCCCAGGCAGCCCGGATGGAATGACCTGGTGAGTCCCGAGGGCCGAGTGCAGCCCTACAGAGGGCCCAGCAACATGCCGGCAACAAGAGGAGAGGAAGAGCCCTGACCAGTGTGGCTCAGTGGATGGAGCGTCGGCCTGCGAACTTACGGGTCCGGGTTCAATTCCGGTCAAGGGCATGTACCTTGGTTGGGGGCAAATCTCCAGGTGGAGGTGTGCAAGAGGCAGCTGATGGATGTTTCTCTCTCATCGATGTTTCTGACTCTCTCTCCCTCTCCCTTCCTCTCTGTAAATAATCAATAAAATATATATATATATATTTTAAAATATATATTTAAAAATATATATTTTATTGATTTTTTACAGAGAGGAAGGGAGAGGGATAGAGAGCTAGAAACATCAATGAGAGAGAAACATTGACCAGCTAACTCCCGCACACCCCCCACCAAGGATGTGCTCGCAACCAAGGTACATGCCCTTGACCGGAATCGAACCTGGGACCTTCCAGTCCGCAGGCCAGCGCTCTATCCACTGAGCCACACCGGTTCCGGCAAAATATATTTTTAAAAAGCATAAGCTTTTCTACATTCTGCGACTAAGGAAAGCGTGTAAACTGGCAGACAGGCTTCTCACGGTGCTGCACACAACAGCGGCCGGCTGGACACTGTCACCACATGAGGTCTGCTGAAACCACACTCAGCACGTTGCTCTAATGGGCCTGCGCGGTCTCGCCGTCACCGGTGCACAGCGGAGGGAGGTGTTTCCGCAGGAACACTGACAGCTCCGCTGCAGCGGGTCAGTCTTAGCACCGGAAAGGGAGGCGGCCCCGGTTGGGCAACTAAAGGTAAGAACATGGATGCCAGGAGAGGCAGGCTGGCCGTGATGAGGAGGGGATGGAGCCAGGAAAGACGCTGACTCTGTCACCGACTGGGCTCTGTGTGAGCATTTCTGAGGGGGTGCAACACGTACACCCTCCGGTCTAGAAAAGGCGGCTGCAGGGAGCTGCCTCTACTGGTCCTGCCGCTCCTGACCATCCTGCGGCCCCACCCCATCCTCCTGCCCGTCCTGCAGCCCCCACCCCATCCTCAGCCCCTGCCCATCCTCCTGCCCGTCCTGCGGCCCCTGCCAACCCTCCTTCCCCTTCCTGCGGCCCCCGCGGCAGGTGCAATGCGCCCCCTTCGCTAGCCTCTCACCTCCACCTCCGGCTCTGCAGACCAGCCTTCACTTTCCAAATCCCTTAAAACTGACCTTATGCTCTTTTTTTTAATTTTTAATTTTTATTTTATTTTATTGATATTTTACAGAGAGGGAGAGAGAGAAATAGAGAGCTAGAAACGTCGATGAGAGAGAAACATCGACCAGCTGCCTCTTGCACACCCCCTACCGAGGATGTGCCCGCAACTAATGTACATGCCCTTGACCGGAATCGAACCCGGGACCTTTCAGACCGCAGACCGATGCTCTACCACTGAGCCAAACCGGTTTCGGCTGACGTTATCCTCTTAATTTTAGGAATAAACGTGTTTAAAGCAAAAGTAACTTATTTTGACAATAATCTGAGGTAAGACTCTAATTTCCAAAATGGTCATATCTCCCAATACTATTAATAGAATAATTGATCCTCTCCTTTTTGAGTGCTTTAACTCAATTTCACTTGCTCTAAATTCTCAATTACATGACTCGTTCTAAATTCCCAGCCTTTACCCACCCAAGCCAGTGTCAGGACATGGTATCCTATGTAAAACCTACTTGAACAAGTCTCATTTCATTACTTTTTCTACAACTTCATTATTATTTTCACTCTTCAAAACAGACTTTAGATTCATTTTGTCAAGTTCCAAAAAGAAGTCTGATTTTTTTTTTTTTTTTACTGGAATTGTATTCAATTTATAAGTTAACATAAAGCTATGAAGATAATTAACATGTTTAATTACCCGGGAACACACTGTCTTCCATCTACTCAGCAAATTATTATAGTTTTCTTGATATAGCTAAGTTTATTCATAGGTAGTTTTTCTTTTTTAATTTAATTGTAATTGCTAACAAAATACTTTTCTCCTATATTTTCTCTCTGATTATGGCTGATATTTGGGAGAACCACTGATTTTTATATAACAGTACTTTTTAAAAAATATGTATATATATATTTTATTGATTTTTTACAGAGAGGAAGGGAGAGGGATAGAGAGCTAGAAACATCGATGAGAAACATTGATCAGCTGCCTCCTGCACGCCCCCCCCTGGGGATGTGCCCGCAACCAAGGTACATGCCCTTGACTGGAATCGAACCTGGGACCCTTGAGTCCACAGGCCGATGCTCTATCCACTTAGCCAAACTGGTCAGGGAAATAACAGCACTTTTAACCAGTAATCTTAAAACTGTTTTCTCAGTGGATTCCTTTGGATTTTTTTTAGATATATAATCTCATGTGTCCTGTAAAGAATGACTGATATTTCCTATAAGGACTTTATGACATCATGGAAAAATACAATAATAATATTATTAACTTTAAAAAATGGTATAAAACTAGGTAGACTATGACCTCAACTATTTAAACATGTATATGTATTTTATTACAAGGGAGAAAAACGGAAAGGAAAAAAATAAAACACATCATGTCAACAATGGTTACAGCAGGCAGATAAATTACAAAGATTTTTATGTTCCCTTTAAATTGTACTAGTTCTCTCACAAAAGTTATTCATCAGTTTTATTAAAAAAGGACAATAGGCTGAAACCGGTTTGGCTCAGTGGATAGAGCGTCAGCCTGCGGACTGAAAGGTCCAGGGTTTGATTCCGGTCAAGGGCACATCCCCAGGTGGAGGTGTGCAGGAGGCAGCTGATCGATGTTTCTCTCTCACTGATGTTTCTAACTCTCTAGCCCTCTCTCTTCCTCTTTGTAAAAAATCAATATATATCTATATATCTATATATATATCTATATATATAGATATATATATATTTTTTTGTTTTTGTTTTTAAGGACAACGGGTTTTTAATTTTTGTGTGAAATGGGAAGTTGCATTTCTCTCTACACAAAAACTTTTCATTTATGTCCCTCTGGCTTTTACCGCAGTTACAGACTCTTGACAGAAAAAGCAGTTCCCTAAGGTTCATAAAGAAAGCGAGAAAGGAGCAGGATGGATTTTCTTACCGAACCGTTGCTCTTAGAATCTTCTAGACGTTCCAGAACTGATGTCAGGTTGGGGTCATCAGAGTCCACGAACCATATTGGTGAGGAAGCTGGGTATGATTCCTGTTAGAGACACGCCAGGTTACACGCTTGTCACAGCCTGACCTGGACCTGAACTTAAACTAAGGTGACCAGACGTCCCGATTTAATAAAAATCGGGACTGTCCCGCCAAAAGCGGGACATCTGGTCATCTTAACTTAAACAGGCCGCTCAGTGGTCAGGCCAACAGACGTCAGTGAATACAGCTGGGAAGCCGGTCAGGCACAGCCAGGGTTTCAGGCTCAGTTCCCGGGGGCGGAAGAGAGGGGGGTATAGGGGACAGGAGGCAGCCAATCAATGATTCTCTCATCATTGTTTTTAACCCTCCCTCCCTTTTCCTTCCTCTCTGAAATCAATAAAAATATATTTTAAAAAATTATATATTTTTGACATCATGGAAAAATACAATAATAATATTATTAACTTATTATTAATAATAATATTAATAATATTATTAACTATATTATTATATAATAATATTATTAATAATATTAATAATAATATTATTAACTTTTAAGAAAAGCAATACATTAAAATCCATGTGTGGAAAACCAATTTCTCTTAATGGATTTTAATTAATTTTTTTATTCTTCCGGAGAGCAGCTATGGGGCCATGACTGTCACACTCTGCTGCTCCCTGAACGTGGAGTGGAGAATGGTGTGAACTCACAGAACCGTAATGAAATTCCAAAGGCTCTGCCAACACGGAGAAGGAAGCTGCGAGAAGACGGGGAGGAACCCTCCTGCTCACCGCCCGACAGGTGAACAGCTCAGTGTCCAGCGGCAGACCCACGGCGCAGTGACCACACTAAGGAGCGTGAAGAACCCTGCGCAGCACGTGGCGTCCCATCAGAGCATCCACGCGGGGCATCCATGCGGGGCCCCGACGGAGGCTGGGAGGCCCCCGGATGCTCAGGACCCAGGCAGCTCCCCGCGCTCAGCCTTCCCTCCCCCAGGACTCGGAGGAGACAGCACAGACCCCGCGCCACAGCCTTGGGAGGGGCTCTCGGGTGATGCTTTACTTCCGGTGGTGTGGTCCCCATTTGCCTCCCACCCCTCGACCAGCTGACCCTTATCTCACTCCGTCCGTCCGTCCCCAGGTCTCAGTTCAACAACAAAGTCACGTTGTTAAGGGACACACCATTCATAACATGGACACCTACGTCTCCTCCTCACAACCTGTTCCTTCCAAGGAGGGCACGGGGGTGAGGGAGGCGAGAACTAGGATCCGACTTGGCATCACTAGCTGGTTGGATGAACGAACACACGGACTCCTCCGCCTGAAGGCACTGAGGTGCTGTCTTTCCCAGCGGTTCCCGGAAGCTGCTTCAGAGGCGCCCGCCAGGACCGGCCAGAGAGAGGGTCCTGGCTCTGTGGTCAGGCTTCGTTCACTATGTCCTTTGTACAACCCACCCGGGCTACTTCTTATCCGTGTCAAGACTAGGAACACATAAAACTGACAGCCCTAACTTAGTGCCCATGAAAAATCAGTCAAGCAGTCCATGGATAAACACAGAATATGCAAATTGACCGTAACTCCGTGACAAAGGTGGAAGTGCCTACATCCAATCAGGAGGTAATATGCAAATTGACACAACAAGGCGAGGCAGAAGGCGGCTGGAAAGCCTATTCTTGCACGAATATTCATGCCTCGGGCCTTTAGTTTTCAAAACACAGTGCTCTTCAGCCACAAATGGCGCCTTCACTTTTGTGTTTGTAGAGAACACTGTCATCGCCACAGGGCTTGTGTGGGGCAAGAAAAATGGTCTGTTTCATCGAAAAACGCAGACGTGATTTGCTTCAGGTCCCAGCTACTGAGCATAAACCTTTTCTCTACCATACACTCCAAGCTCTAACCGTTTAAAGTTTAGTATCTGACTCCTGGGGGAAGGGAGGCTTTTGGTGGCAATGAACAGAAATTTAATTGAGGAGAAAAAGTTCCACCACAGCGGTCTGGCGAACGGCCACTCATGCAGAAAAGCGATGATGTTCGCTACACCTTTACGAAGCTCGAGGGTTTGTTTACTAGCTAGTTCACGTCCGGGGAAGGAGGGTCTCTCTAAACAATTCCCTGCCAACAGTTCCCAGATGCGAGAATCCGTAAAGGAGTATCATCGGAAAACCCTGCATCGGCTCCAACAAGGCTGCCCAGGTCCGTCAACACCTGCTGGGCCTCGAGGTGTGAGCGTAACAGCTGGCCCTCAGCACGGCCTGGAAATGGATGTTTACTGAAAACGGGAAACTGTGCTTAGACCTGCATGACAAGCTTGCGTATCTCGACTTCCTTTTTGATTAGGAAAAAGACTCCCTGAGGTTGAAGATAGCATTCTTTGCCCTTCATATTTGATTTATAAAACAGAAAAATGTTTTAGCTCAATTCCCTTTGCCTAGCGAATAAAACATCTATGTTTTCTCACTTCATAAAAGTATCTTTCAGCCCTAAATGGCTTGGCTCAGCAGATAGAGCATCGGCCTGTGGACTGAATGGTCCCGCAAAGGGCATGTACATTGGTTGCGGGCATATCACCAGTAAGGGGTGTGCAAGAGGCAGCTGATCGATGTTTTTCTCTCATGGATGTTTCTAACTCTCTATTCCTCTCTCTTACTCTCTGTAACAAATCAATAAAATATATTTTTTAAAGTATCTTTCATATGAACTTAAAGTCAAATAACAGATTTCCTATGTGCACTGTCCACGACACTGACTCTTGACAGTTAACTTACAGGAAGTTTGTTGTTTTTTTAAATACATACTTTATTGAGTTTTTACAGAGAGAGAGGGATGGAGAGCTAGAAACATCAATGAGAGAGAATCATTGATCAGCTGCCTCTGCACACCCCCCACTGGGGATGTGCCCACAACCAAGGTACATGCCCTTTACCAGATTCGAACCTGGGACCCTTCAGTCCACAGGCCGACGCTCTATCCACTGAGCCAAACTGGTTTCGTCCTTACAGGTAAGTTTTTTCTTCCAACTGAATATAGCTGAAACTCGACCATGTGGTCAACAGAATAGAGGAAGTCCCTGAAAAAAGTGTACACACACCGGGACAGCTGACAACTCACTTACCTTTCACTCTTGCTCTCGTTTAACTGATTTGAAATAATGGGTGAAGCCAAGCTAAGCTTTAAAGAAAGATTTATCCTGCCGAAACCAGTTTGGCTCAGTGGATAGATCATCGGCCTGCAGACTGAAAGGTCCCAAGTTCGATTCCGGTCAAGGACATGTACCTTGGTTGAGGGCACATCCCCAGTGGGGGGGGGGGGGGGGGGTGTGAGTGCAGGAGGCAGCTGATCGATGACTCTCATTGATGTTTCTAACTCTCTATCCCTCTCTCTTCCTCTCTGTAAAAAATCAATAAAAAAAAGAAAAGAAAAGATACTCAAAGTGGTCGGTAGCCAGGACTGTAATAAAACCAGCATGAACTGAACCTGACCAGGAGACCCTTGACAGATGGTCAGACATGGGAAGAGATGGGAGGGAGGGGTGTGTGTGTGAATGGAGCACATGCTATACGGGACAAACTGCCATGCAGAAGTCTCAGAGAAAGAGGGTAGAGGTGCGGGATCTCTGGAGGGTTTTTCAGAAACTGGCACGTGTGTGTGTGTGTGTGTGTGTGTGTGTGTGTGTGCCCAAGAAGCAACTCGTGAGGTGCCACCCACGCACACGTCACAGGAACTGCACCTTCTCGGTCAGCGTGAAGACAGGGCCCGCATGGCGACTTGAATGGCGGCTCCTAGTGGTGCCGTTACACTAGTCCCCACCAAACCCTCCTCCTCGCTGTGTCCTTCTTTTTAAATATATTTTTAAAATTTCAGAAAGGAAGGGGAGAGAGAGAAACATCAACGATGAGAATCACGGATCAGCTACCTCCTGCACGGGCCACAACCCAGGCACCTGCCCTGACCGGGAATCGAACCGTGACCTCTTGGTTCATAGGTCGACGCTCACCCCTGAGCCACATGGCCAAGCGCTCATTCACTTCTTAGCAGCTCCATTCCCTAACCCGGCCATCAGTCCTCATCTCTGTGCGTAGCAGGCCCCCAGCAGCCTCCGCGGGCACTGCTGGCACTGAGGTGACATACTGCCTCGTGGTGGCAGCCTGCCTGACAATTACAAGTCATTTGGAATCCCTGTGCCCTGGCACTAAATGCCAGCCCAGCCGGCCCCACACACTCCTCTCCTAAAGCACCTGCTGTCGCCCGGCTGGTGTGGCTCAGTGGTTGAGCGTCAGGCTAGGAACCAGGAGGCCAGGGTTTGATTCCCGGTCAGGGCACAGGCCCGGGTGGCGGGCTCCATCCCCAGAGTGGGGCGTGCGGGAGGCAGCCGATCCATGATTCTCTCATACTGATGTTCCTATCGGTCCCTCCCTCTCTCTCTGAAATCAATAAAAATATATTTAACAGTAAACAAATAAAGCACCTCCCGTGGAGGCCCACTCCTACGCCTTTTCCCACGTGCCCTGGGCAGCTCAGTGGCTCCCCACGGCCTGCGTATCCTTCTCCGTCTGCTGTCCTTCCCCGTCTGCTGTCCTTCCAACCAGCCCTCCTGACCTGGTCACCCCGGGGGCCGCCCCCTGCACATCCCGCCTCTCGCTCACTACTACTTCCTGTTTCCGCTCTCGGAAAATTGTCCTCCTTGCTGGGCTTCCCAACCACACTTTTCTCAAGCTCTGGGGTGTTTTTAAAAAATGTATATTTTATTGATTTTTTTTACAGAGAGGAAGAGAGAGGGATAGAGTTAGAAACACGGATGAGAGAAAAATATCGGTCAGCTGCCTCCCGCACACCCCCCACTGGGGATGTGCCCGCAACCAAGGTCCATGCCCTTGACCAGAATCGAACCTGGGACCCTTCAGTCCGCAGACCGATGCTCTATCCACTGAGCCACACCGGTTTTGGCTGTTTTTGTTTTTCTAATCAATATGTTTCTATCCATTTCAGAGAGGGAGGGAGAGGGGAGAGAGAGAAACATCAATGATGAGAATCATGCCTTCACATATGGAATCTAAGTAATAAAATAAGCGGACGGCGTGGATCCAGAGACATGGACGTGGGGAACAGAGTCCAGGGTCTCGGAGGGAAGGTGGGGAGGGTGGGAGGTGACCAACCAGACCTCGTGTCACAGCCATGGACCATGGTGGGGTGGTGAGGGCCTGGGACAGGGTGGGGACAGGCTGGAGGGGTAGGTGGGGGAAAAGAGAGGACACGTAGGCCCTGACCAGGCAGCTCAGTTGGTTAGAGTCGTGGTCAGCAAATGGCGGCTCATGAGCCACATGCGGCACTTTGGCGCCTTGAGTGTGGCTCTTCCACAAAATACCACGGCCTGGGCGAGTCCGTTTTGAAGAAGTTTAAAAAATATGGCTCTCAAAAGAAATTTCAATTGTTGTGCTGTTGATATGTGGCTCTGTTGACTAATGAGTTTGCCGACCACTGGGTTAGCGTGTCCTCCCTATATCTCAAGGTTGTGGGTTCGACTCCTAGCCAGGGCACACACAAGAAATCCACGGCCCAGCCGCAGGGGCTCAAAGGTCGAACGTCAACCTAGGAACCAGGAGGCCAATGACTGAAGGTCCCAGGTTTGATTTGGGTCAGGGCACATGCCCGGCTTATGGGTGCATCCCCAGTAGGGGACGTGCAGGAGGAGCTGGTCCATGATTCTCTCTCATCTCTCTCTCTCTCTCCTCTCTTCCTCTCTAAAATCAGTAGATACATTTAAAATTAAACAAAAATAAAAATCAATCAATAAATAAAATAATTCTTTAAAAAAAGGAGGGGGGCCAAAACCGGTTTGGCTCAGTGGTAGAGCATCGGTCTGCGGACTGAAAGGTCCCGGGTTCGATTCCGGTCAGGGGTATGTATCTTGGTTGCGGGCACATCCCCGGTAGGCAGTGTGCAAGAGGCAGCTGATCGATGATTCTCTCTCATCGATATTTCTAGCTCTCTATCTCTCTCCCTTCCTCTCTGTAAAAAATCAATAAAATATATTAAAAAAAAAAAAAAAAAAAAGGAGGGGGGATGTATAACACTTTCAACAATAAAGCCAAAACTGGTTTGGCTCAGTGGATAGAGTGTCAGCCTGAGGACTGAAAGTTCCCAGGTTCGATTCTGGTCAAGGGTATGTACCTTGGTTGCGGGCACATCCCCGGTAGGTAGGCAGTGTGCAAGAGGCAGCTGATCGATGATTGTCATCGATGTTTCTAACTCTCTCTTCCTCTCTGTAAAAAAAAAAAATCAATAAAATATATTAACAAATATATGAGCATCACAGATGAGCCGCCTCCTACATGGAGGCCCCTCCTGGGGATGGAACCTGCAATCCAGGCACGTGCGCTGATGGGAAGCCAACCATTGAGCCACACCGGCCTGGCTGTTTTGTTTGGGGGGGGGGCGTGTTTGTTTATGTTTTTTAATAGATTTTCTCTGTGGGGATGAGGGGGGGTTCGGGCTCATCTGTGTGAAAGCCCAACCACCACCGCCAGACTCCCCTCTCCTCGGGGGCGCCCCTAATCCCCCCCCCCCCACCTCCTTCCCCAAAGCCAGAATGAGTGCTGCCTGGGGCTTTCATGGTGATAGCATGGCACTGAGTCACACCTTTGGCTGTGGAAAACCTCTTCCCTCCCCGCATCCCCCACCCCCACCCCCACCCCCCAAAAACTAACAACACGGGGGCGGGGGGGCTCGGAAAGCAGGGGGGCAGCTCGGCCCCCCATTCTGCAAAGCCGGGCCCCCACGCTTGATGCTCCATAAGCCACCCTCTCCCCGAACTGGTTTTTCCGGAAACACACACCTGCCCCCCCCCCCCCCGAGAAAAAACCATTTTAAGGTGAACCGGGTGTCTCCCGGCGGCCCGGGGTCCAGGGCAGGGAGCCGGGTGGCGGCGGCTCGGAGGAGGAGACCGAGAAAGTCGCCCCCCCCCACCGGGTCCCCCCGGCCCCGGGACCCCGGCTCCCCGCGGCCCCGCAAGTGCGCGTGAGGGGCCCCCGCCCCCCGCCTGCGGCCGGAAGCGGACGTCCTCCCGCCGCCCTCCCCGGCCAGCGGGCTCCGGGCCCGCTCCTCCCGGGGCGCGGACGTGCCGGGCGGCGGGGCGGCGCGGCCTGAGGCCCCGAGGCGGCCATCGGCCTCGGGCCGTCCGCGCCCCCTCAGCGCCCGGTCCCCCCGGCGGCCCCTCAGCGCCCGGCCCCCGGCGGCCCCTCAGCGCCCGACCCCCGGCCCCGCGGCGGCCCCTCAGCGCCCGGCCCCGCGGCGGCCCCTCAGCGCCCGGTCCGGTCACGAAGCGGCCGCGAACCGGCCGCGGCCCAGCCCGGGCGCCTCCACCCCCAGCCTCGCGGGGCGGCGGCGGCCGGGCCCCCGGGCGGGCGTCTTTGTCCGGCCGCCCCGGCCCGGGCCCCGGCCGCGGCCCCGGCCCCGGCCCCGGCCCCGGCCCCCGCCCGACCCCGGCCCCCGCACCGTGATGTTGCAGTGCAGCGTGAGCGCCGAGGCCGCGCTGCCCGGCGGCCGCACCAGGAACTGGCAGTGCAGCTCGTCCAGCTTCCAGCTGACGATGCGGAACCGCTCGTGGTTCTTGTCGAAGATGGACGCCAGGAACTTGAGCTCAGCCTTCAGCCCCGACACCGACATCCTCCCTCATCTCCGGCGGGGAGCCCGGCCCGCGCCGCCGCCGTCACGGCCGGAAGAGGGTTGAGGGCGGCCGGCCCGGCAGCGGCCTTTGTAACCGACGCGGCCGGCAGGAGGCGGCAGCCCGCGGCTGAGGAGGGCGACGCGACACCGCCCCGCCGCCGGCAGAGGCCGCCCGCCCCGCCCTCGCCCCGCCCACGCCTCAAGCCCCGCCCACGCAATCGGCAGTGGCCTCTGGTCGCGCGCCCCGCTCCTCCAGTCCCCGCCCACGTATGAAGCCCCGCCCATACCATCAGTGTTCATCGCGCGCCCCGCCTCATTCTGGCCCCGCCCACGCAGCAAGCCCCCGCCCACGTCTCAAGTCCCGCCCAGCCACCAACGGAGGCCGCTCATCCCCCCCGAACCGCCCCCCGCCACAAGCCCAGCCCCGCCCACATCTCAAGTCATGCCCCCGCCACCTGCAGAGGCCGCTCATCGCGCGCCCCACCCCCCGCCGCATCCTGGCCCCGCCCACGTCTCAAGCCACGGCGCCGGCAGAGGACGCTAGCCCCGCCCACCGCCGCTAGCCCCGCCCTCCCATGTCTCAAGCAGAGGCCGGAAGAGGGTGAGGCCGGCGCAGCAGCGACCTTTGTAACGGACGCGCTGGCAGGAGGCGGCAGCCCGCGGCTGAGGAGGGCAACGCGACACCTCCCCGCCGCCGGCAGAGGCCGCCCGCCCCGCCCCCTGCCACAAGCCCAGCCCTCCGATGTCTCAAGCCCCGCCCACGCCACCGGCAGAGGCCGCTCACCGCGCGCCCCGCCCCCGCCGCAAGCTCCGGCCACGCCCACGTCTCACGCCCCGCCACCAGCAGAGGCCGTGCGCCCCGCCCCCACAAGCCCCGCCCCCGCCGCGGGCAGAGGCCCACCCTCGCCCCGCCACCGACGCAAGGCCTCGCCCCATCTTTCTACGCAGCCTTGCCCCGCCCCACGCCAAACCCCTCCCCCACGCGTGCTCGCGGCCCTGGACGCTCCGCCCCCTCTCCCCCGGGTTCTGTCGCGCCCTCTAGTGACGGCGACCGCTCGGTGCGGTCGGGTCACGCTCCCCGCAGCCCGGCAATCAAGGTACAAGCCCCCGCCCGGAATCGAACCGGGGACCCTTCAGTCCGCAGACCAACCCTCTATCCACTGAGCCAAACCGGTCCCCGCAGATCATTTTAAAAATGTTTTTCTTTTTTTTAAAGCTTCTATTTGTATTTATTTCTGAGATACCCTGCTCTTTGAGCATCTAACAAAAGCTATGATCTTTCTTCCCAGGAAAGTGCTTTTGCACATGAAGTTGTAAATTTTTTTTGACGGGAGTGGGGGGTGTGGGGGGGAAGGTCACGGCCCTGGCACTAAAGAAACCACTATGAACTGGGAGTGGGAAGGGAGGGAGTTCCAGAAACTTGATTGTGGAATGATTCCCAGGGATAACACCCTCCATTCTAGGCCGTCTCTTTCTTTTTTAAAAAATATATCTATTGATTTTTTATTTATTTTTTTACAGAGAGGAAGAGGGAGGGATAGAGAGTTAGAAGCATCGATGAGAGAGAATCATCAATCAGCTGCCTCTTGCACACCCCCTACTGGGGATGTGCCCACAACCAAGGTACATGCCCTTGACCGGAATCGAACCCGGGAATCGAGTCCGTGGGCTGACGCTCTATCCACTGAGCAACACCAGCCGTCTCTTTCTTCAGCCTTTCCTGTACCCTAAGTTGAAACTTAAAATAAATAAATATATATATATATATATATATATATATATATATATATATATATATATATATATATATATATATGCCGAAACCGGTGTGGCTTAGTGGTAGAGCGTCGGTCTGCGGACTGAAAGGTCCCGGGTTCGATTCCGGTCAAGGGCATGTACATTGGTTGCGGGCACATTCCCGGTAGGGGGTGTGCAGGAGGCAGCTGGTCGATGTTTCTCATCAACGTTTCTGGCTCTCTACCTCTCTCCCTTCCTCTCTGTAAAAAAATCAATAAAATCTATTTTAAAAAATAAAAAATAAATATATATATTTCTTTATTGATTTTAGAGAGGAAGGGAGAGGGAGAGGGAGAGAAACACCCATGAGAGAGAATCATGGACTGGCTGCCGCCTGTACTGCGGATGGAGCCCACAGCCCGGGCATGAGTCCTGACCAAGAATTGAACCCTGACTGACTTCCTGGTTCCTGGGTTCACGCTCCGCCCCTGAGCCACGCCCGCCCCGTGAGGGCGATCTGTTCTCTTCCGACTCTTGCTGCCCCCTCCTGTGGGCAGCCTGGCGGCCGTCGCTGGTCCGGGCGGGGCAGTTCCGTTTGCGGGTACAGACACTCCCAGACCCACTTCCCGGCCCCCTGCCCGCCCGCCCGCCCCCAAGGCTCTGGCCCAGGGCAGAGGGAGAGGAAGGGAGATGCGTTTCCCCGGATGGCCTGTAGGTGGCACCAGAGACCCGTGGAGCTGGGCCTGCGGGCTCCCTGGTCCCAGGGCAGCGGCCCATCCACCCCCAAGGGGGGAAGCGGGGGCGGGGGCGGGTGCCCCTGGGTAATTTCCTCTCTGGGAGGATGGTCATGGGATTTATCCCTCACATCCAGGCCTTCCAGACCTTCCAGAGCGTGAGGGACACTGGAAACACCCGTGCCGGGCCGCACTGGCGTGGCTCCGTGGTCCAGCATCAACTTAGGAACCAGGGGTCAGGGTTCGATTCCCGGTGTGGGCACATGCCCTGGTTGTGGGCTTGATAGAATATATATATATATATTATATATTATATATTAAACATTAATATTTAGCTGAAACCGGTTTGGCTCAACGGATAGAGCATCGGCCTGCGGACTGAAAGGTCCTGGGTTCGATTCCCGTCAAGGGCCTAGACCTTGGTTGTGGGCACATCCCCAGTGGAGGGCGTGCAGGAGGCAGCTGATCGATGATTCTCTCTCATCGATGTTTCTAACTCTCTATCCCTCTTTGTAAAAAATCAATGAAATATACATTTTTAAAAATTAATATTTATATATAATATAAAATGTTATATTAAAAATATATCATATATTATATCAATATATAAAATCTTATATTTTTTATATATACGAAATTTCTGTTTATATATATAAAATATATTTTTAATGTATTTTTAAAAATATATCAAATGTTGGGAGCCCAAAAAGAATTGGCATTAGTGACTCCATCTTAAAAGACACCTCCATCTTAGACACTGAGTTTCTGACCTACCAGGACTCATGCCCTGAGGGAAACTGTACTCCCAGGCATGCTCCTGGATGGCCTAAGACACATTGTTTCCACAACCCATGACGGCTATTTTTTTAAAATATATTTTATTGGTTTTGTACAGAGAGGAAGGGAGAGAGATAGTTAGAAACATCGATGAGAGAGAGAGTCATCGATCAGCTGCCTCTTGCACACCCCCTACTGGGGTTGTGCCCGCAACCAAGGTACATGCCCTTGACTGGAATCGAACCTGGGACCTTTCAGTCCGCAGGCCGACGCTCTATCCACTGAGCCAAACCAGTTTTGGCCCATGACAGCTATTACTCAAGCTCTGTTTATGGAACATCCTGCGGTTGGGACACAGCTGCACAACAGAATGTTCTCTGTTGAAGATAAACTATTCTTTTTTCTTTTTCTTTTTTTTTTTTACAAGATTGAAAAATTATTTATTTGCTAGAATTTTTTTGAATTTAATAAAAAATGGCAATAACTGATACGTACATTAATTCGAAGTCTTTTCACTAAGCACCAAGGACAGTTCCTGAACTTTTCACCAAGTACCCGGTTATTATTGAAAGGTGCCTAAATCAGTTTGAGTTTTTAATGGAGAAATCCAAAGCCGCCAATCAGAGCTTCTAATCAGCATGAGATGGCCAGGTTAACAACCCTGAAATCATGTTATCTGAGAAAAAAAAAATTTTTTTTTAAAGCTTTAACTCACACATGTTCAGTGAGGCGACTAAGTGGCCTCAAGCTGTATACCATACATGCACAAGACCCATAATACATGATCTCTGTATGTTCAGAGGAAAATAGCCTAATTCTCATGAGTAGCACAGAGACACATACAAATGATTACTAACCCTCAAATGAGCACCAAGCAAGGCTGCTAGACAGGAAGTGCTGAGTCCCGGGGGGAGGGAAGGCAGCAGGGAGGGCACTTGGAGTCTTGAGGGAGCATTCAGGCACCACGAGCACTGACAGTGCCTATGGGGAGGGGCCTTCAAGGCTGAAGAAGCAAACAAGTCAAGAAATCGAGCCCCAGAGGCACTGCCTCTTCAGGAGACAGTGGCGCTTGCCTGGGGTAAAGGGATGTAAGCTAGCCAGAGACTAAACATCCCAGAAAGAAAAGCTCGTTCAGGGACAGGCAGACACAGCGCCCGTCTGTATTTCCCAGCAGCAGCAGCAGCAGATCCATCAAGAACCGTGTTGGGCCGAAACCGGTTTGGCTCAGTGGATAGAGCGTCAGCCTGCGGACTGAAAGGTCCCGGGTTCGATTTCGATCAAGGGCATGTACCTTGGTTGCGAGCACATCCCCAGTAGGGGGTGCGCAAGAGGCAGCTGATTGATGCTTCTCTCTCATTGATGTTTCTAACTCTCTTATCCCTCTTTCTTCCTCTCTGTAAAAAAATCAATTATATATATATATATATATGAATCGTGTTGGCCTGTGTGACCACGGAGAGGGTGAACCATCTTCCCAAATGCTGAGGCTCTTTGTGGAAAGTAAGTCACCTAGGGTCAGTCACCCCGAGGCCCCGCCCCCTGGAATCCACACCACCCATTCCCAAGAACCTTCCTTAATGGGAAATCTCTGCTCCACAAAAGCAAAACATAAACAACACAAACAAAACAAAGAGAGACTCGCCCTCACACCTCACCTCTGCCCGTCCTGCTAGTGGCAACAGGGCACGCTATTGAGACTGATTCTTCACTGCAGAATGGAACAAAATTTACGTCCGTGCTCCGCCTGCAGCCTCCCAAACAGTAAACGAGCATCGCACAAAATATAAACTTACCACAAACAAAAGCCAACATCAACTTAAGGATCCTACTGTATTACCCATGCGCTAAGCTGGGCTATGACAATCCTCTTCCGAGTATTTGCAAAAGACGCATTACAAACATTGCTGCATTAGATTCCAGTTCCTGA